AACTGGTCTTGCAGTGGATACCAGCCCACTGTGGTATTCAAGGAAATGAGAGAGTAGATGAGTTGACAAAAGCTGGGAGTAATCTTCCACAACCTCATCCACCACACAGCTACAAGGAAACCAAAATAGCGCTAAAGCAGTCTTTCAAGCGGGAGTGGAGAAGGCAGAATGGAGATTACAGACCAGAGAGGGACAGCATAAACAAACTCAACAGGAAAGAACAAACATCAATTTTTAGACTTCGGACTGGACACTGTGGTCTTCGAGCACACCTGTACAGGATAGGCATAAAAGAATCTGCTGCCTGTGATTGTGGAGCAGAAAGACAGACCCTTGAGCATATACTACAGTACTGCCCTAACCTCTCTCAGCAAAGACTGTGGATCTGGCCCAGGGGATCCACATTGCGAGAGAAGCTATGGGGGACCGGTGGCGACCTTAAACGCACAATCCTTTTTTGACCCAGACGGGACTCATTGTTTAGCATGACTGATGTCGAACGCAGAAGAAGAAGAGTCTAAGCACGTTATCTGTTTATTTACAAATACTTAATTACGTCGGAGCCTGGGTTCTCAAACTTGAAGTTTGCAAACTGATTTGTTCAAAAAACTGAAACCTTTTCCCCCATAAGAATTAATTCTTAATTAACAGATTAATTTGATTTTCAATTCCAAATAAGTGTTTATATATTGTAACCTTTATAACAGTATTTCATACATACAGCTAAATAAAAAATAGAAAATTGATACACTTTTTTGGGGGGGGGGGGGGGGGGTTTTAAATAAAAATAATGAATACATTAGTTTTAAAAAAACAATATAAATATAATCTCTTGTTTACCTAAATGAATGAGAGTTATAATAAAGAAAAAAATTAGAGTTGACCTAGTAGGTTTTTTTGACACTCCTTCAAAGCGCGAACCTTGGTGGACACAATCTGTTGTAACTTTACATAACATAGCTACTGACGTAATCCATTGTTTATGTAAGTTCGCATAATAATAACATTCTTTCATATTAAAGATTGTTTGAGATTAGGGTTAGATTTGGGGCTAACCCAAATCCCTAATTTGAATAAATATTAAATTTTACAGAACATCATTTTGTGAACATACACAAAGGAAGGATTGTCTCCTTTATGGTCGCAATAAACAAACCGTAGATTGCGTTCCCCCTAGGGTCGCATTCGAGGAAATGCCGGTTTTCTCCTCCTGCTGAACGTGCTAAGTTCTTCAGCAGCAAGCCTATTAGTATGATCCTCCACTAACTTCTCCATATCAGCACTGTCAATTTTCAGGCTTGTACCCCTGCCAACGGTGTAATGCTGACCACATTACCCACTGAGTGCCGATTGGTCTGTAAAAATATGGGTGCTCTTCCCATATACCCGATGCGCCTAAAGGCGTGGAAAGGGATCTTTACTTTACTTACTTTACTTACCCCTGCCAAGTATTGGCAGCCCTGGTTGCAAGGGTGGAAGTTTCCCTCCACCGCAATCGATTTAAAAATACTCAAAATAGTATTGTAATTGTGAGGACCATCGTCACAGCACTCTGGTCAGATCCACAGGGGCTTTGATCTCCTCCTAAATAGCTCCATAAGAGTAAAACGACAGATCACACACGTTCTCTGTTGATTAACTCCAGGTTGCATCCCCTATTTCCACCAACCTGGTCAAGGATATTAAGTCCTGCTTGTTATCTTGATCTTCTTTGTGATATGCAGCACACATTGCATTAATGATGTCATTCCTGTCCAGTTCCGGGCTAGTTGTGGGAAACACCCTTTTTTGTCAGATAATCTGCATGCTCATTGTTTTGAACCCTTGTTTGACATGGCACAAAGATAAAGGTAGGATGAGTTATTTGTGATGCATTTAATGAAAATCCATTCATGTTTGATTAAGCCAGCCTAGATTTTTTTGAGCATATTCATTGAATTGCTCAGTATGCGCTCATGTGTGAATTCTTGAGTACCCAGCCCTATCACTGCCCTTGTTGCAGCCATGGTCTCCATTGTGAACCTGCTGGTTGTAACAGCAAAGGCACCATTCATCTTTTTAATGGTTTTTCCCTTTGCTCTCACAGTGAACCTTACACTTCGCTTGCACTGAGTAACCGATACATCTGTGTAAACCACAACATTATTGACATCTTAAGTTCTCGTCAATCAGAATTTTGACCAAAGTGTTCAGTTTGCCAGGAATCTATTTTCTGCAGCTTCTGTCAAGGCGTGATATGGACCGAGATGCTAATATTTGAAGCAGGTGGCAAATGCTTCCGTTCATTTCCTAGATTAATGTCTGGAAAGAACCAGTCTGCTGTATGGCATCCTCTGCATTACCCGTCCACGATTTGCCTCTTTTAAGTCAGTTTTGGTTTTGGTTGTTCATCAAGGGAAAGTCTAATACCTATTGCATCGACTGGCAGGATGTGTCCCTAGTGAAACCCAAAATAACACACATTGGCTCATCTTCAGTCTTTTCTAGTTTGTTTTTCTGTGTGGTGCTAAATGTCATGATGGCCAATGCTTACTAATTTTAGAGAGGATTAATCCCTGGTATAGCATCACGTACATAGCAGCTATATCTTTTATTGCTGATATAACTTTCTTGGCTTTGGTAATAGTGGGGTCTACATGCTTTTTAAATGATAGGCATCTATCAAATTGTATAACTGGGTACTTCATAGTCAGACCTCTCTAGGTCCTTGCCGCAGCCTTCTGCCATCAATGTTGATATCTTCACAATGTGGTTATTCAAGGAGAACCAGGTGACTTTCACTTTGGATGGATTAACTCTTGCCTCTGAGATACTGCATCAGGTTGATATTTGGTCAAATTGCCTTTTGTAGCTAAGAAACTATTGTCAGCTCGATTTTGTCCTGTTGGTATGGGAGGATGTCATCCTCAAATATCTTTGCCATTCAATTGTTCTCTCACTGTCTTGATTGTGAAAATATTGAACAGGACAGGAGACAGGGGAGAGCCTTGAGACAGGTCTGGACCTACTGTCATTGGCTGAGAAGACCAAACACCACACTGGAGCACCACCTTTCTTTGGAACAGTGCAGCAACTATCCATCGAACAAGATATGAGGGAGTGGCAGTGTTGAGTTACATTTATTCTGTTTGTATGTCAGGTATATAAAACACATTTAAAGTCATCTATACAAGATATAAAAATTTACCCTCGTATGGGTTCCGGGGTCCCATTGTGGGGAAAACAAGAATAGACCCACTGCCTCCCCAAAAGCATGTCTTAAGAGTTGACAAATGTGGGAGCTTCCTTTGAAGTCGGAGTGCAACTGCCGGAGAGGCAAGGAACCAACAGTCTGTATTCAAGAGAATGAGATCTGTAAAACTGATGCACACGCAACACTCAGGTTCTGGAGCAGGACTGCAGTTCAGTAGTGGACGAGCAACCAGAACTTTCCGCCAGAGTGTACAGCTGGTGAACGCGAAGAAGAAGAAGAAGAAGAAGAAGTTATTCTTTTATGTCTTAGATACTGTTTTTATAACCTTGATATAATGTAAATGATTTTCAGACCCCATACTGTGTTGACTTTTAAACTTGAATTTTGACGTTAATAATGCCCATCTGTAAACTCTAGTTTTGCTTGTTGCATCTATCATTAGTAACTTTGTTTGACAAAGATTTTCAGTAAATATAACAAATTCCTTCCCCTAAAAGATATTGTAGTTGTTCCGACTTATTACCAAAGCAGGTCTTCACACTCAGTGATACTGTACTTTTGTTTAGCAGGTATAAGGTTCTGAGACATGTATAACACAGATACAATAATTTCTGAAAATGTGTGTGCTGACATACTTGCTATCATGTCCACTGGCAAGCATTGGCAAAAAAGAAACACTTACTTAAATCATGTTGTCTTAAAACTGATTATGTCGCACAAACAAAAAGAATTAACTATTTCAAATGTGATCTTGAGTTTCATTCCAGTCTGCTAATTTTTCAATAATTCCTAGTTTTTGTGGGAACAAATTGAGTTATGGAAACAGTGAACTGAATCCAAGAACTCTAAATATTTTTCTTATCCTAATGAACTGTTGGAAAATAAGGTGTGTGAAAATAAACTTACAGTTAAAATTAAATCACTTTTAGATTTTCTGGTAAAGGAGTTCAGTCTCTGTTTTTCCTGCTGTTTTTCCTGATCTATCATTTGATGACTGATCTTAGAAGTTGACAGTCTGTTAAAAAAATGTTTTTTCAAATAGCAGCATTTGAGCTGAAGTGTAATTCAAAGACAGAAGATGATTTTTGTTTAGGTGCAGTATCTTGCAATGTACCCTCATGTTGCCACATTAGCTATTAATATTCTTTTCCTATTTTTCTCCACTTGTTTACATTGACCTAATGATTGTATTAATATTATTCTCAGCTTTATTTACATTTTATTGATTACTTACCTCACATATTTTGTAGATTCTAATAAATAAATTAAAAACCATTTAATGATCTATTTATACATATGCCCGGCTCTCTAGTGTAGTTGGCTAAACCAGACTGCGCGGTGACCGGGTGACGAACTTCTTGTGGTCCGGGTTCAAGCCCAGGGGTAGGCAGAAAAGCCACATTTCTCCCAGATTTACGGTATTTATCATGGAATCAAGGCCGAAGGGTTGCGATATCCATAATACCGAGCCTAAGGGTTAACAACTCATGGCTTCTGGATACTTAAAAAAACTGATATATATATATATTATGCCCCCCTCCCCTGAATTTAACACAACAAGACACAGTGCACAGTAAAAAGAAGTAGAATAAGGATGTTTGCATACCTTGAAGGATATTTAGATGACTGTGAAGCAAATCTGAATACATGATAGACTAAATGCAAAGAATAGTTTATTCAGTGAAACCTTTTCAAGTTAATTTTTAGCAGACAATTTGAAAGTTCAAAATAAACTGAATTGCAGAATTATTTGAAGTCAGAGACATTATTGATAAGATAATTGTTTAATCTTGATAGATTTGATGCTATGGCAATTGCACGACCACCTGGTATGGACTTTGATCATAACTGGCCAGAGAGTACAGAATGCCTGACACTAGACTTTGGTCCTTTCGAAACTGTACATATGTGGAAACCTATGCCTGAGTGTGATGAGTTTGTTGGAGCCAGGTTAGTGTTATTTTTGTTGTGTTTTTGACAGTATTTTCAGAATCATTCTAAGATAAGATCTGCTTGTTACTCTCTGGTGCCAACATGGTCAAATACCATGCGACCACCGACTTGACATGTCCCCTGTGCAGAGCTAAGCAGACACTTGAGCACGTATTGTCCACCTGCAAAAAGCCCTAGGTCAGGGACGATTTACATGGCACCACAACAAAGTCCTGAAAGAGCTAACGGACATTGTGGACCAAGCCTGGATGAGGGCCAACGTGAGAGCCAGTCCTAATGTCCCTCTCAGAGGTCATCTCGGTTATGGGACAGTAAAGTATGATGATGATAAATCAACAGGTCTGTATGTAGTGACCAATAACTGAGCTCAGGACCAGTGCTGAAACACAGAATGATCTGCGTGATGTGAACTATGCTTAGTTGGTTTCAGTGGCTTGGACTTCACGAAGTACAGCAGCAGCGAGTCAGCACTGAACCTTGGGCTGGACAAAACGACTGCGTGAGGGGAGATCGAGAGATTCGCCTGGACACCAGTGTGACAAGGACGTCATTAGACCAGACTGTTAAATTGTAGTATTTCACTGACAAATTGTAATGACCGATAGAAATGTGGCATGTGTTAGATTTTAGCTGTGATTCATACAGTCGGGTGTACGACTACGTGTGTTAGTACATTACGGTGTAGATAGAAATTGTTCCAATTAGATCTCTTAGAGAAGATAGATTCACAAGAGCAGTTAGGCTCCCTTTTTCAAAAGTGATATCTCGTTACGGGAAACAGGGTCGTGCATTGTTTGTGGTGATAGCATCTCCCAACACACCTTCAGCCTACACGCGGCGTGTGGCGCAGAATCCTTAGCATCAGAAGACAGCGGCTTCAGACAACGCTGTACGGAAGTAGTAGTTGTGAGCTCAGAGCTTATTCAATGAAACATGTAAAGTCTTGTCTAGCGATTGTAGATAGCATTTCCGATATGGAGAGCTACTGCTCCTGAGGCTAACTGTGTGAGTTTGTACTTTTTGATGTTAAAGATTGTGTATGTGTGTGTGCTCCACGGGTGTTCAGGTTTTTTTTTTTAAAGCAGATTTATCTGTCACTGGCCTGCAACGCAGCCACAGATTAACACCTTAGACCAGCAGGCCTTTGACATTCCCCTCATGCACTTCCTCAAGGCTGCATACGCTTCATCGCATTTTGACTGTGTGAGGGAATGGTAACTGGCGGTCAACCTGCCTGGTTTTGAGAAATAATCCAATTCAATCTGAAAGATTGGCCTGAGACCAGACATGGTTTTGCACTCTGCGGAAAAACGCCAGCTCATCCTGATAGAGCTCTCATTTGGTTGCGGATTGTGCTTTCAGTGCTCTGTCGCTCGGTGTTTGTTGTGGTTTCCTCTTGTATGGCTGTTTTCATAACTGGCTGGCCTTGTGCTGCACTCCGGATCTTTGGATTGGCTGCTCCGCCATCGATTTTGGGTGGGTTTGATCTGACTTTTGGAGCACACTTCCTTGGTCTGAAAACATTTATAGGGTGGCCCATACAGTAACCTGGTTGCTGAAAGCAAAATAGACTAAAAGCCATTTTCCCACACAGTAACAGCCCCACCGCCCCATACTTAAAAAAAAAGTGTTGTCATATTCTGCCATTCTACACAGCACAGACACAAACAGTACCAAAGCTGATATACAGGCATAGTGAGGATTGACAAAAGCCGTAAAGCCAAAATATTGTAAACTTAGTGACATATGACAAAGCCAGATATCAACCTTCCAGCGCTAAAGGGTAATGTTAGCATGCAGTTTCTTTAAATGTTTGGTTTTTGCTTTGCAATATAGTTAGTTGCATGAAACATTTGGTTTTCACTTTTCATTATAGTTTTTATAAGTTGAGCTATACATTTGCAAGTCAACCCTAAAAATATTTGTTTACACCCGTCCTTTTACACTGATTCTTCCAGGAGTTTTACTGAAACTAAAACTTACTGTTTTATATCTTTACAGGCGAAGCAAACATACCATAGTGGCATACAAGGAAGCTTTGTATGTGTTTGGAGGTGACAATGGGTATGTTTTTGTACAAAAGTTTGTGTCTAGAACAGTGTTTCCCAAACTTGTCTTAGTCGTGGCACCATTTTTCAATTAACATTTTTCCACGGCACCCTAACCTAAGTAAAAGCATGACTATTCGTAAGTAAGAAATAAAAACAAATAACACTTGTATATCTTCGTTAATTGTTTTCTTTATTAACATTAAATTAACAATTAATGTGATAGATGAGCCTGGGAATCACTGCTCATTTTCTCAAATCGTGGAATCAAACTGGACATGACCACCCTCATTTCCTTTTCCACGTTGATTTTTGCTATATGCTTGCTATTATTACAGCGAAAACCCAGCTTCGTACAAATACGATGTCAAAAATGGAATTAAAATCCGCGGAGCCCTATCACTTAGAAGGGGATTTTCATCTTTTATTGAAATACAAAATTCTGTCAATTCCATGCTGCCAAATTTTGCTTTCAAACTGTTATCACAAGATAACTCTATATGATTCTCTTCTTCTGAGGAAGTAAATTCAGACGGAGCACTAGTGTTAAATGGATCTTGAATCCGTGCAAACTTATCGAAATTTTCATTTTGAAAATATTTCTCAAACCAGATAATTAGTTGTGATAAGTGCTCGCCAAGCATGGTTTTTATATCTCAAGAAAGATCAAGTTCATTTGTCATCAAAAATTGCTGTTAATATTGGAAAACAATCTTTGCCTGCATCTTCAGTGAATTTGCTTTTCCATTGAGTTTAAAAAAAATAAAGCTGATACAGTAAAAACCTTACTTAATGAGCATAATTCGTTCCTGAATCATACTCGTAAAGCGAACACTTGTTATGCCAAACAATTTTTCTCATATAAATTAATGTAAAATACGATAATGTCTTCCAATGTCGAAAAAATACTCACAAAATGTTATGTATAATGTTTATTCAAAGAAAATTATATGCATATTGTTAAGGAGAGTGAATCATCTTCATCTTTTATACAACTGCGGAACTGACCCACCTGGAATGCAAATTCGGTTTGCAGAAAACAAAAAAAATCTAAATAATTATGATACATACCTAATTATTTTTTTACTAGAAAGATGTCCAGAGACATTTGTTTTTGCAGACACTTCAAAATTTGACAAAAATGCTACACAGCATTGTCATTAAATAAATTTGCAGTGCCCATAGCAACTTCCTTATTAGGGCGATGCTTCTCAATGTAAGATGCAACAGTTTCCCATGCTTTCAGCATTTCTCTTATTTTGCCAGATTGTTGCTTTTCTGTTACCTCCTCCTCTGACAAACTTTCCTTCCAAAACGTCTTGCTATGAAACACAATGCAGCTCCATAAGCTCTTCGGTGGTCAGCACTTGGCTGTGCTCTTCCACAAGCTCTTCGATATCACTGTTATCCACCTTCAATCCCATGATAGTGGCCAAAGACACAATCTTGTTGACTACAGGTTCCACAGGTACTGTTTCGAACCCCTCAAAGTCACATTCGACAATGCTCTCTGGCCAAAGCTTCTTCCAAGCAGAAGTTAGGGTTCTCTTGGTAACCCCTTTCCACACCTTGTCGTTCATCTTGAGGCAGGCGACGATGTGGAAGTGATTTTTCCAAAACTCTGAGAGTGAGGTTGGTCCCTTCAGTCACCTAAAAACAATGCTCAAAGAGTGCTTTATTGTAGAGCTTCTTAAAGTTAGAAATAACTTGCTGGTCCATGGGCTGGATTAACGGAGTGGTGTTGGAAGGCAGAAACTGGATCTTGATGAACTTAAATTCTTCAGGGAGGTCATCTTGTAGGCCTGGAGGATGGGCAGGAACGTTATCCATAACAAGCAAGACATGAAGTGGCAGATTTATCTCAAGCAAATATTTTTTCAGAGAAGGACCAAACACTTCCTTGATCCACTCAGTAAAAAGGTCACGTGTCACCCAAGCCTTCCTGTTGGACCTCCACATCATATTTAGCCTGCTCTTCTGGAATTTGCATTTATTGAAGGCTCAGTCAGGGTCAGCAAAATGGCGTTATGCAATAAGATATAAGCTTCTGCTACTAGCTCTTCTGGCTGTCTCGACCGTAGACATATTGTTCTGTGGAGGAGTTTCTCTTGTGTAATCTTTTCATCTTGTTTCTTTTCTGCCTTGTGCTGTGCCTCCTTCTCTTGTTTTTGTGTTGGATTTGTATGGTTTGGTGCCACAAGGCATTCTCTTTAGCTTGGTAAACCATTTGATTCGCTGTCTTTGTATGTAATTTAGAATCCATATTGTACTAACTTTTTCCTCTTATAACATCATTCCTGATTTGATCTCTTCTGGTCACTCATCCAGCTCTTAAGTGATAACTAATTTTTCCATTACATAATTGTGAAATATTAGAATAAGTAAAAAAAAGTTCCCTTTTCACGCCTTTTGGCGCATCGGGCATATGGGCAGAGCGTCCCATATTTTTACAGACCATCAGCACTCTGTGGGTAATGTGGTCAGCATTACGCCGGCTGTCTTTACTTTCCCAGGACAGCCCATCCTGGTACCCATTTTAGGCTGGGTCGACCTACGACGTCCCATACCACGACAAAAAATCCACGCAGCCTGCAGTGGGTTTCGATCGCGGTATGCTGGCTTACGAGTCGGACTCGCAACGCCTTAGCCACGGACGCCACCGAAATATTAGAATAGCCAGATAAAATCTATATTTACAAAATCTTCTATGAAGGAAGAGGGAGTAGATATTTTGTAAAAAAATTTTTAATTTTTTTAATTACAATGCAGGTTACAGATTATTTATTGTTTAGACATTTATGTTTCAGAACAAACCTCTCAAGATTTTCATCCTAACATTTAAATAAATTCCGTAGGTTGGTTTAATAAATACTTGACAGTATCCTAATTATTGTTAAGAAACTTTTTTATGAGCTTGTTAGAAATAAATTAAAAAGACTGTCTTCACAATGGGTAATGTTATCAACATAGTGCTTGCCATCAATACTTCCCATGGCATTTGCTAGTTCCATTTTAGGCTTTCCTAACTTTGGAGCCTAGGCGAATTATGAAACATCGGCCTGAGTGCAGACTCAAATGAAAGACCTTCAAGCTAGCAGGCAGGCTTCCAGTCATTGTGCCACAGTGTGCTCCCTTGTTAGGTATTTTGAGGATAAAGATGTAATATACTGTTCACTAATATTTACACTCTTTTTTTTTCTCTTCATCAGTAAAAATATGCTAAATGATCTTCTACGCTTTGATGTAAAAGATAAGTCCTGGGGTAGGGCCTTCACCACAGGCAAACCACCTGCACCCAGGTATCATCACTCAGCTGTGGTTCATGAGAGCAGCATGTTTGTGTTTGGTGAGTACAGTAACCTGACATACAGGGTGAAATTATTGTGTTTCTGTGTAATATAGGGAGCCTTGAAATCTAACAAATGTAGTGATAACACCATATACCTAGTGTGCCTGATAATAGGAAAATGATTTATCGCTTTAACTATACCTTTGCAACACACACAAAAAAGTTGATGGGTTAAAGTCCAGAGCATTGACTGACTGACTGACTGACTTTCTACCCCACCAGGACATCACACAAGCGATAAACATCCGATGACACAAAGTGCCACCATGTGGGTGAGGATCACCATGGAGAGGTCCCAGAAACCGCATTCAGCCTTTAGGCTATATTTATGGCCAGGCTATATTGCGGCCCCTGGCAAAAGCCAGAGTAGGGCTTCAAATAACGAAAAATTTCGTCCTAAAAAGGACGCGAAGTATTAGTAGTATAAAGAGAGAGAGAGAGGATGGACTTCATCGCACTGGCTTTTATCCCATATGGCTGGGCATGTCTTTGCAGAATGGCTAGCTGCCTAACAAGAGCATCACACAGAGCACAAACTCTGTAGCTTTTGCAGAACCCTAGGAATATCCATAAAAACTGCACTTGGGAACTGAACAGCGCAACATTGAAACAGATCCACGAACTGAACAGTGCAACATTGAAACAGATCCACGAACTGAACAGCGCAACATTGAAACAGATCCACGAACTGAACAGCGCAGCATTGAAACAGATCCACGAACTGAACAGCGCAACATTGACACAGATCCACGAACTGAACAGCGCAGCATTGAAACAGATCCACGAACTGAACAGCGCAACATTGACACAGATCCACGAACTGAACAGCGCAACATTGAAACAGATCCACAAACTGAACAGCGCAGCATTGAAACAGATCCACGAACTGAACAGCGCAACATTGAAACAGATCCACGAACTGAACAGTGCAACATTGAAACAGATCCACGAACTGAACAGTGCAACATTGAAACAGATCCACTACCTTCAGAGAGTGAGGCAGATGGCCTGACCACTTCATCACAGAGCCTCCCATGAGACTGTTGACATTTAATCTACATGTTCTAGACATGGTCTCATCTGCTGTGTACCTTGCTTGTTGTCAGGTGCAGATGCATTTTTGCCCTGCTGGGAGCACTTTTCTACTGTATAGTTCCTCTCAACTGAAACTGAAAATATCTAATCACTTAAAGATAAATCAAATTTGACCAGGCTTGTGTTAATCTGCAAGAGGCAGTCAGATATTCAGATGATCAACAGGACCTGTCCCTGGGGGAAGAAATAGCCAAGGATCTTGCCACCAACAGAAAAGAACAGCCTGTCTTCTGCAGACACTATACTCAATTTCAGACCACCTACCACTTTTAGTATGCCTCTACTTCCAGAGAAGATTGTGGAAAGAATACTTAATAATTGAAAAGGGAAAACTAACTGTAACTGCAACTTAAAAAAAGATAGAAGTAAGAACTGATTTAGAAGTAAAGTAGCATAACTGCAATAACCATCCTAGAAATGGGCACAAAGTGACTGTCTGAAACGTACAGACACTGACATAGACAGACAAAATAACTTGAACTTTTTGGAAAAAATACCAAATAAATCAATCTGTAATTATGTTTCAATAACAAAATCCTTAACAAATATAGGTTAAAACTTCCTTCCATTAGATGTAATTATGTTCATAGTCCATGGCCATCTCTTATTATTTAGTTGCATGACTGGATGGTGGGGTCCCAGGAACAATTGTTGAAAATGCTATCTGTATCATTGATCTCTGAACTTCTCCCATGAATGGGAAGGATAGTTTATGGATGTCTCGAGAATATCGTAGCATGAAATTATTAGATAGGGCAAGTTACCTAACCTTCAACCTCATCCTGTTAAGCAATTAGGTGACTCCCACCAATCTTTTATAATTATTAAATAATTGTTTTAGTTAATCTAATTTGAACAGACACTTTTAATTATGAACAATATTTAACAAACAGCACAGCAGTAATTATTTAATCTTGGCTGTGTTGAATGAATTTCCATAAAACATGAAAATTGATTGGTTTTTGTAGTTTTAATAGCACACCATGGTGTAGCAGATAGGAAGGTCGTGGGTTCGGATTTTGGCGGAACCGGATTTTTTGGGGTCAGAAATGACCTTGGCTTCCAGGTTGACCCAGCCTTGAATAGCTACCAGGTACAGTCCTGGGAGTCGGCTCTGTGGCTGAGTCGATGCGAACGCTTCGTAATGCAGGGATGCCGGGTTCGATCCCAGCTGCGTGATGCGCCTTGCATTGGTTTGGACAGTGGTATCAAGAAAGCCGACCGTCCAGAAAGCAATGGCAAACTACTGGACGTACATTTGCCTAGAAAAACCACACAACAGCCAGGGGCTGTTGAGGTTGGTTCTGCAACGTTCTGTAAAAGATACGCAACTAACCCAACAGTCCTGGGAATAAAAGATGGGTAGCGTGATGATGACCACATCACCCAGGAGTTCGATTGGTCTGTAAAATATAGGTCTAGCCCTATGTGCACAGTATGGAGTGGAAAAAGTCCTTCACTTAAATATACTGTTGCAGAGTAAATATTTTTCTTAGAGAATGACCTATGAGTGATGTTATTCTGAGATGATGCTCTTATATCAGAAAGTTCTGTGAAAAATGATGAACATTCCTTTTATCTGATGTATAATCAAATCAGATGAAGACCGTCGCATATTAAATGAGTCATGTGACAAAAATGTTACTGAGAATAATTCTGATTCACTAGGATGTGTACTATCACCTGATTTTTTTTCATTATAAAATGAATATATAATGAGATTTATCTTGAATATTTCGGGAATAGCAGTTGTTGATCAAAACATAAACAACCTATGCTATGTTGATAACACTGTCTTGATAGGGAAAAGTCAGAAAGAACTACAGGAATTAATAAAAAAGGTGGTGATAGAAAATGATAAAATGGGCCTCAGTTTGAGTAATGGGAAGACATAAGTAATGGTGATTTCCAAGAAGAGAATACTGCCTAAATGTGTAATAAAAGTCAAAGGCATTATTTTAGTACAAGCACAGAAGTTTAAGTATCTAGACACATGGATAACATTTGATGGAAGATATACCACAGAGATAACAGACTACTTAGGACAGGCCAAAATTGCATTTGATAAAATGAACATTTGTGTGTGCAGTAAATCCATGTCATTGGAGGTCAGGAAAAGAATTCTTGCACGCTATGTAGAGCCAGTTTTAACATACGGCTGTGAACCCTGGACAATTAGTAAACAAACCTAACAATATTTTGAGATCTCAGAGATGTGGTTTACATACGAAGACAGCAAGTGAAATGGTTTGCCCACTTAGAGAGAATGCCTTGTGACACCATACCATACAAAGCATATAAAATTTGTGTTACCACATTGTGTTCCAATTAATATAATTATTTACTAAATTTTCAGTTTAGTAAATATGATGGAAAAACTTGGCACAAAATGCTAGCTGTCATGGTCATCCTAATATTCATTAGTAAATAGCATTTTATTGAATGTAATTTGATAAATATGATATCATGCAATACTCAGTGATAAGAATGAACATATTTAGGTGGCTACACTGGTGACATTCATTCCAACTGCAACTTGACAAACAAGAATGATCTGTTTGAGTATAAGTTCAACACTGGTCAGTGGCTTGAATGGAAATGTGACTCCAGGTGTGTAGCAATTCATTGTTGAATATCATTTTGATCAAACTCTGTTTTTCTTGTCTTGTTTTTGAAAATAAAAGTGAAGTACAGATTTGCTGATTATATTCGTACCGTGGGCTATGGTAAGGAGCCGCCGTGGTGTAGCGACTAGACACTCATTTGTGAATCAGAAGGTCGTAGGCTCAAAACTGAATAGAGACGGATCTTATATAACCTTGGCTCGCAGGTCAACCCAGCCTTAAATGGGTGCCAGGTAAATTCCTTGGAAGTAAAAGCAACTGGTGTAATGTTGATCACATCATTCACTGAGTGGCACTTGGTCTAAAATGATAGGTCTAGCCCTATATGCCCAGTACACCTTGTGGCGTAAAAAAAAAAAGCTTTACATGGGCTATAGTCAGAAGTCACACTAACAAAATCATGAGTTAGTCAAGTGCTGTACCCACTATAAAAGTTTACTGCATCAAACACTTTCTATCTCTCACTGTCATGGTACACTAGGACGGACTCTCATTCATCCATTTCTTGATGTCATCTTTCACTTTTTACTATTGACTGGCTCATACCTCCCTGCATTTGACTCCTCCCAGCATTTCTTTGTCATGTTTAAAAACAAAGTATGTTATGTCTGTTAACTCTTTGAGTCCCAGGGGGTTTAGCATCACAGGCCCAAGGGGTAGTGAAGGGAGACATAAAATCGGCGCATCATACGTTCATTGGGCTTCTAGGTAAGAACCTATGAACGTATGATTCGCTCTTTGGGACTCAAAGAGTTAATGTTGCCAAAATGTTAAACTCTGCGTTTGCTTTTGTTTCCATGAAAGGCAACTCATTCTTTGTATCCACATTTTTGTGGACTTTTATTAAGTACCATAAAATTTAAAAGAACATTGATTTCTGCACATCGATGCAATTTTTTTTAAAAATGAGGTTGATTTTTCAAAGTAAAAAAAGAGTCGGCACACACCCTTATCTTATTCTAGACCTTATTCTCATTTTGTATATTGACTGAATCTAAAGCATTTTCATGCATTGATCAGGTGGTAATAACTCCATTGTATTCTAATGTGCTGTGTAGTTGTTACCTTTGTTTTTTTCCAGTCAGCAGCTTTTTCTGTTGTACATAAGTAGTGTAAAGAGCTCTGTCCTGTTCAGTTTCCCTCTGCAAGCAGGGCTTTTAGCGGCCCTTGAAACCTAGAAAATCCCTGAAGCAGTAACGTGGCTTTCAAGATCTTTGTTTTAAAAAGGGATAAAAGTCCTTGAAATTTGCGGGCAAGAAATGGACACCTATGTTAGATAGTCATCTGTTAGACAGCCATCGCCGCATCGCTGAAGCAGCTCACCACCTCCTCCAAACCATGGTTCCATTTCTTACATCAGACAAAGTGAAAGACGTTTGTCGTACATGGGAATTTGAGCTGCAGTTGTGGGTGGGAGCATTTTGGATGCTGGGATGAAAGGAAACTAAAGATCTGACGGACTAGCCGTTTCTACAGTAGTTAGTGGAGGAAGAAGTATAGATGGGGCAGACATACTGAATGTTCTGCAAGCCAGAGATGTTGAGACAGAGGAATCAAGAGACGATAAACAGCCTGTTGGAAAAGGGTTTTAATGAAGACAAGATTACAAAGACCGGTTGTGAGACCAGGAAAGAAGATATGCCAGTCAACTCCTGCCGGTCACAGTTCGCATGGAGAGGAGACATTTTGATGGCTGCTGAGTCGGAGGATATAGCATGAATAGGCCTGGCTAATGTGCTAGGATCCAGAAAACAAGTAACAAGTAATCTTTTATGCTCCACTACAGATGTCTTTGATGTCAAATTGTTTTCTTTTACTGATGCTAACTTATGTGAATTTGGTGTTGTGTCTGATGGCTAGAAAAGACTGGTTGAATTTGGTTTTAAATATAGTAAAAGCTGCAATGATATATCTGATATAGATAAGATAAGTAACCTGCCGACGTGCAACAGTGACAGGCTACACAGAGCACATGTGGATTAGTCCAGAAGGCAGTAATATTCTTAAAAATTATTAACAGTTTTTTTCATTACCTTTATCTGAAAGGGATGATCTTCGAGATCCTCTTCCTGCTAAAGGGAATAGTCGCTTGATTGGCAAAAATCAGCGCTTACCTGTTGCTCGTGCCGCCCATGGAGCAGCAGTATATGATGGGAAACTTTGGATATTTGCAGGATATGACGGCAATGCTCGATTGAATGATATGTGGACCATTTCTCTGCTGTGTGATACTAAAGGATGGGAGGAGGTGAGAAGAACTAACTAAAACATTTGTCATTTTCTTAACTGTATACGCTTTATCTATTTGTGAATAAAAGAAGTAAAGGACCCTGTTCCACGCCTTTAGGCATATAGGGCTAGACCTATATTTTATAGACCAATGGCACAAGATGGGTGATGTGGTCAGTATCACGCCGGCCGCCTCAACTTCCCAGGACTGCACCCGGTTCCCACTCAAGGCTGGGTCAACCTGGCAGCCAAGGTCATTTTTTAAGAAAAGTCCGGCTCCACCAGGGAGCGAACCCACGACCTTCCGATCTATGGCGTGCGTCTAGCCGCTCTGCCACGGTGACTCCCTTTGTGAATAAACGCTGATAGAAATGGAGGTCCTGAAGCTGTTACAGATGCCCATGGAATGAGTTGGTATCTGTTGGAATTAGCTGCAGTACTTTTCTTGTAATGTTTGAAAGTGTTGTACGCTCACAGAAGGGGCTAATTATGTAATTCCCGGGCATTTATACTGCTCTTTTATGTCTATATTAACCTCAGTGTTGACATCAACCATCACTCAGACAGAATTCTTAGATTGACAGTCATGAAAAAGAAAACAAACAGTGTTATGTGTCTTGGAGAGGTAGCCAGACGAAAAAGAAAACAAACAGTGTTATGTGTCTTGGAGAGGTAGCCAGACGAACAAGAAAACAAACAGTGTTGTGTGTCTTGGAGAGGTAGCCAGACGAAAAAGAAAACAAACAGTGTTGTGTGTCTTGGAGAGGTAGCCAGACGAAAAAGAAAACAAACAGTGTTGTGTGTCTTGGAGAGGTAGCCAGACGAAAAAGAAAACAAACAGTGTTATGTGTCTTGGAGAGGTAGCCAGACGAAAAAGAAAACAAACAGTGTTGTGTGTCTTGGAGAGGTAGCCAGACGAAAAAGAAAACAAACAGTGTTATGTGTCTTGGAGAGGTAGCCAGATGAACAAGAACCTGAACCTTGCATTGCTCTTGTCACCCAAAATGTTTTTATAGGAAGTAACAATGAAAAAAAGAGACTGATAGATGTATGACTTTTATTTCAGCAACTATCTCATGTAGCAACATTCTGGTACAGTCAGTTTGGACTTTCATGAGAAACCTCAACAAGTACCTGGCTTATTTAGGATCCTAATCTAAGTAGAATATTATTTTTATCTATGATCAATGGAAAATAGGAACGTGTGAAAACCGAAAGAATCAGAAATGTGCAGATATAGCAGCCTAGGTTTAAATCACAACGTAGTGTGCCAGTTGCCCTTTTAATGGTTAAAACAGAAGAGCTATTATAAGAGAAAGTCATGTGTAACATTCACGATTGTGAAGCTTCAAGAAATGTTGCATTTGTTTCTAGGTACATCAGAGTGGTGACATACCTCCAACCTGCTGTAATTTTGCTCTGGCTGTTGCAAGAGACAGCATGTATGTGTTTTCTGGGCAGAGCGGTGCAAAAATTACAAACAACTTGTTTCAGTTCAACTTTGTTGAAAAACAGTAAGTTTTTTATAGTCTTTGCATCTGTTAAATATTGAAATAAAAATTATGAATAATTTTCTGGAGTTTCTATTTCTTCTTATTTTGTCAATATCTACTTATGTCACTAGGTGTCACAGCTCATAGAATATCAGCAGCCGAGCCAGGGCGCGCTTGGTCGCTTGATATGCTGTGATGTTATGCAGTCTCAAGGTGTCAGTGAATCCTTCAGTCCATCTTCTTCTCAGTCTTCCCTTGCCTCTTAGTATTTAAATTTTCAGGTTGTACGCTCTTGCTGCTGGCATCATTGGTTTCATTCTCATTAGATAGCCACACTATTTAATTCTTTGTTTCTCAGAAAATTTGATGATGGGTGTTATTCTAACAGTTCTTGTGATCACGTCATTTCTCACTTAATCTCTTCTGGTTTTATTCACAGCCTTTCTCAAACATCTCATCTCACAGGTGGTTAGTTTTCTCTCATGTTCTTTTGTCAATGTCCAAGTCTGACACTGGTAACCTTAAGTCGGTATAAATACTGCATTTATAATTTGTCTTTTTGTCTGTATTGGGATAGCAGGGTGTTTTAAAACTGGAGCAAATTGGTTCGTGACCTTGTTGGATTATTGTTTCTATCTCTGTCTTTTTTTTTAGCATTGTATGTAAAGATGCTTCCCAACTATTTAATTTCTTGTACTTGTTTCAGACTTTGATCTTTGCTCTTTATGTCGATGGTTTGTTGCTGTCTACTAATTCTCATGACTTCTGTTTTTTTTAAATATTGATCTTCATGTGATGTTGAAGGTCACTGTCGTATAGTTGGTCTATGTTGTCTTGCAGCTGTTTACTCTCACTGTGGAATATATATTGTTTAAAAAAAAAAAGAAACGCATAGTCATCCGATGGCGTGTTTTTATTAGTTTGTAAATAAAATATTGTACTTGGATATGTGAAAAGCAGACTCAAATGTTGTTTACCATGTCCAGTGGACATGTGAGCATGAATTACGTGGGTTTTTGTAATCGTTACAACACAGTGGTCAGTTGTGATTAAGACCATATTTGTGAGCATAGCTCAGGATGGGCGCATGAGAAAGCAACACAATTTGTGGTGAACACTATTCACTGCCCACACAATTGTAACCCGATAAAAGGATAACGCTACACCAAAACCATCAATTCATTTTCAAGCAGTCACGAATGGTGCCTCTATTGATAAATTTAAGGAATATTGCTATTGGTCGATTGCAGGCAGGAGAAAGTCAAAGTCAGGTTGCCTCAGAGTACGTGCATCAGAGTACCATCAGTTGACTTTGGCACTGGTTCCATGTTACTGGTTTAGTTAAAGATTAACATCGGAGTGGACGACCTAGAGTGATAACAGCAGCGGAGAATCACTTTATTCGGCTTCGTCACCTTAGAGACAGGTTTGCAACAGCTTCCTTAACTACACAGGCATTGCCTCCAGGACGTCATGTGTCTGGTCAAACTGTTCTGAACATACTGCATGATGTTGGACTTTAGGCTCGACGACACACCGAGGACCTATCCTTATGCGTCGCAACCACCAAAATCGTCTTCTTTTGGGCCAACCAACATCGTCCCTGGGCAAGTGACAATCACTGGAGACGTGTCTGGTTCAGTGATGAATCTTTCTTTTTGTTGCAGTGTCATGATAGACAGCGTAGGGTCTACCATAGACTAAATGAAGGTTTAGCTCAAAATTGTGTTGATGAAGCTCTGCTGCACGGTGGTTAAGGTGTAATGGTATGGGGAATGATCAGTTACAATGAAAGGAGTCAATTGGTGCACATAGAAGGAAGCTAAAATGTGCAACAGTACGTCCATGACATTCTTTGACCACATGTCCTTCCATTTTGGGATGCCAACAGATATCTTTTTCAACAGGACAACTCCAGACCCCATTCTGCACAGCTGGCCAGGCAGTTTCTGGCTGCCAATAACATTCAAACCCTTCCTTCGTGCAAATGGTGGTCTGTGTCTGCAGCTACTCTAACATATGACTTCGCCTGCAGCACCTTGTGCCTACCTGCAGCAGTCGGCAAACCAAGGATGTATCATATCACCACTGGGGTGTCTCTGGTACAACCCAGAATGACCCGCATAGCCGGTTCTGTATGCGCTCTAGTTTGTCCATCTGACTCTTTGAGACGGTAAGCAGTCCCAGGCCATAATCCACCACTGACAGGATCAGGTGCTGAAATAGTGTGAAAAGCATTCTCTGCTCTATTTTAATTTTAGCCATAGTCTTAAGTGGACTAAATCCTTTTTGGCATCTCGTCACAACACTCTCCACATGGTTCTTAAAGGACAGGCTCCTGTCAAATGTAATTCCCAGATACTTCAGTTTGCTCTCTCTGTTGATGTTTTTTTCCATCTATCGTGAGACTTGGGACATTAGCTTTAACGATCCTATTGTCTAGAGAACACCACAAAACGGACGCCTTTTCCAAATCAACGACAGCCCTCATTGATGTACACCACTCAGTCACTTTGTCTACTGTCGCTTGCAGCTCCTGGGCTGTTTGTTCCCTCTCTTGCCTATATGCAAGTATATCATCCGCAAAAGTCAGTCCCCTTCCAACTCCTGATGCTTTTAGGCTTGCAATCTTGCTCATATACACGTTAAAGAGCACAGGCGAAATGGCAGATCCCTGTGGCAGTCCTGGGACCAAACTGCATGGTTCTGACTGAGGTCCATGAGCCCAGTCGGAGAACAACCCGATGTGAATACATGACACCTGTAACCCAATTCACCAGCCATGGACTGACCTCCTTCTCCTTCAGTGCAGTCATCAAGGTGTCGTATCTTACTCTGTTATAAGCATCCTCGAGATCCAGTGCTACCGCCATAGTTTCCTGTCTGTTCTGGAACCCTTCATAGACTTCAAAAGCTAAAGGCGAACTTCCTCACTTGTAATTTGGTCTTTGTATGATATGACATAAACAGCTTACAACAGTGTTAATCAGAGTACTGTCATACGCAGTATTCATTGTTGTCATTGGTGAAGAGAAACCATGATATTAATTTTTCAGGACTATCTTTACAGGCAGTCACTAAAGTAGATCTTTCATGTAGTGACATGTGAAAAGATTAATGCCATCATTTGACAATTTAATGTGTTTAAATGGGGCAGAACTTTAAGCATTTGTTTAAAAGTAAATTTTAATAGTTTATTGCTTGAATTTAACAAAATACTGAAGCTCATTTTTTTAAACTATACCTTGTGTAACAAATTTCCTTCTAAAACAATAAACAACTTTCCATGTTATAATTAAAAATGGAGTATATACCTTTTGTTACAGATGGACAAGAATATCCACCGATTTGATTCTCAGGGACACACCGCCACCACCAGAGAAGCGTTATGGACACACCATGGTAGCTTTTGACAGACATCTTTATGTCTTTGGGGGAGCAACAGGACAAACTTTACCTAATGAACTTCATTGGTAAGTTACATGAAATTTGCGTTGATTTTTATAATTATGTAGTTATGTGATGAATGTGTTATATGTGTGTGTGTGCACATATGTAAAGTCTGTATGTATGTGTGCATGAATGCTTGTATGTTTATGTAGGTTTTATTATTTTTTTTTTTAACTTTTTTTTTCACGCCTGCCACTTGGCAGATCTGCATTATTATTCTTGATGGTTACCATGTGTTGTTTTTTTTTAATGAATAAAAACTGGCGTGAAAGAGTCAGAGTTACCTAGTAAGTTATAGTTTAACAAAGTGTAGAATACCTCCAGATGTTTCTTCTTATTATGGTGACAATTTGAGAAATGTAAAAGACATAAATGAAATCAGTATATGCGGACATTACATGTTACATTTTATGCAGTGAACAGGGTCTGCACTGTTCAGTGAATACAGTGGAGCAGCTATGGTCATAATTAAATTTTAAGAAACTACCCCAGTGTTATAACCAAAGAAATAGGACAATTCTTAAACAGGCCAATAGATCCAGCTGTCTTGAAACAATCCTAACATCTGATGGATATTGCCTTTAAAAGATTCAGTAAGAATGGCCATGACAAAAGTACCTTATCAGGATGAATTTAAAAAACAAAAACTTGTCAGTTGCTGTGAATGTTAATTTGGTTTCCAAAAAACGTTTTTTGGCCTGGCCTAGCACCATAATTTTAAACAAAAATTACACCCTCCCTCCCTGGACTGGTCCTACCTTAAAATCTTCCTTTTGTAATTGAAGAAATAGAAAAATTAGGGATACATTTGAGAAATTGGGTAATAACTAAGTTTAACTTTGTTACACAAGAACCAGTGATTTAAAAAAAAAAATGTCTTATCTTTAAATAACATTTTCTCCTCTCTGTTTCTAAAAGTAATTTGAACACCACCACCCCCCCCCCCCCCCCCGCCCACCCCTCCCCCACCCAGTAGCATACAAGACATACCACTCACTATTCTAGTGTCCCCAAAGGGGGGTGGGGTAAACATCCACTTTGGAAAACTATGATATAAGCAGGCTTATAGTTTTGTATGAAAGCAACATATGGACAGTTAGCTAATAAACTGAGAAAATCTTATGACAAGAAATTTGATTTCTGAAAAAAATATGTAGAGAATACCATGAAAAACAAGTGGAGCAGTTATTTAAAAAAGCAGATGAAAACTATAATTGGTAGAGAAATTAGATGCAAACAGTCAAGATTTTATAGGTGTAATTATGATGAGAAATACGAGAACTGGCAATGACAGCTGGCAGACTTGTTGGGAAAAGAGCAAGGATTAGACCAATTAGACGGAGAGATTTAGCCACATTATATGGGCAGGACAAAAATACAGATCTGATCTTAGACTGTTTGTGTGAGATGGCAAACATTGACCGCCATCTTCTAATACTTCTAATACGTCCTGTCATCGTGCAGAAAAGCCCTAGGCCAGGGAAGATTTACCTGGCGCCACAATAAAGTCCTGAAAGAGCTAGCGGACATTGTGGACCAAGCTAGAATGAGGGCCAATGCTAGGGCCAGTTCTGCAGTCACACCTATGCGCTTCCTCAAGGCTGGGCAGGTCTACAAAGGTACAAGAACTAAAATCGCATACACTCCGTCTGTGCTTGACTGTGGGAGGGACTGGCTACTGGCTGTCGACTTACCTGGCCACGAGAGGTACCCTGAGTTAATCCGAAAGACCGGCCTGCGACCGGACATAGTCCTACATTCTACGGAAAAACGTCAGCTCATCCTGATCGAGCTGACCGTGCCGTATGAGTCGCGAATGGACGAAAGCCACATGTACAAGCTCGAGAAGTACAGTGACTTAGCAGCTGGCCTGAGGAGAGACGAAGCGTACGTAGTACCGGGATGCCATGTTCACTCCAAGCTGCAGGGCTTAAGCCTTGTGTTGGTTTCGACAGTGGTATCAAGAAGCCGACCGTCCAGAAAGCAATTGCAAACTATTGGACGTAAATTTGCCTAGAAAAAACCCACAACAGCAAATGCTGGGTTGGTTCTGCAAAGTCCTGTTAAGGATACACAACTAACTAACCTGAGTAGTGATGGACTCTGATTACTGATGCTTCCATCATGATCCTCTAACAGAATTAATAAAATGTTTTGTTGTTTTCAATGTTTTAGTGATACTGATTGTGTAAAATGTTATAATTTATAATTCTTATATGCAGGTTTGCAATTTTTTTTTTCAAATGTATGTGAACATTTCAGCTTTGACTTAGATTCTCAGACATGGTCTATAGTAGAACCAGCACAGCAAAGTGATGTAAGTCATATATTTTATATATTTCTCTCACAGTTACTTTGTTTCTACATTCTTTATTTTCTAAAATGATGTTTTTTTAGCCTGATTTTTATCAAAGTACTGAAGTTTGACAGTGAGCCTTATTTCAGTTTAATACTGTCCACTGCTAACAGGTTGCATTCCTTACTGATCATTGTCACTTCTGCACGCTCACAACGGTGACAAATTGCCACAGCCTAAATAAAAGAACCAAAAAGGTGGCTGATCTAAACAAAAGGGTAGCCAGCGCTACAGCAGATCCTATCTTGCTTAAATATTCAAAAATTAAACTTAGATCATGCACACTTGATCATTATGAATATGAAAAAAACTGATCGAATCATCACTCTTGAGTCAAGAAATGAAATGCAATCTTCAAGTTTTAGATCACCTTAACAGTTGAACTCAAAAAGAAGATACAAGCATTGGAAATGAGATCTTTCAGACGAATTCTTGGCATGTCATACAGAGATCACATCACAAATGACAAGGTTCGTCGTATAATAACCCAGCACATTGTCAACTATGTACCTCTTTTAACTACAGTGAAAAGATGGAAAATGCAATGGTACGGACATGTAATAAGATCTGACTACTTCTCAGAACGACACTACAGGGCACAGTAGAGGAAAGGAGGCAGACAAAGAAAACCCTGGATACAGAAATTGACTGACTGGATAGGCCCTAGGCATGCAACCATGGAATCCATTGCATCTGACCGTCAAAGGTGGAGGGAGCTGTTCAGACAGTCAGCAGCAACTGGTGACCCATTGACATGCAGTATTACAGGACGAAGATGATGATGAAGCAGCAGCAGAACTAATTTTGTGACATCAGATTTAACAGCTGAACTTATTGTCTACATTTGTTTTTGTTTCTGTGTCCTGTTTGTTGTCATGTGGGCTGCAAACAGTTTCTCCTGTTTTGGTAGGCTGTGGGTGTAAAAAAAAAAGTTGAGGAACACTGCCTTACATCTTCTAAAATCATATTCTCTGTCAAATAACACCAAGATCACAATATAAATGACATTGATGATAAGACCAGTTTTTTTCTATATGGCTCTGGAACCTGGAGTACAAAAGAGGCGAAGCCTTATCACAGACTTTTGAGAACAGACTAACAGTGAATCTAACAGTCAGGCACTGTTGGGTGTTGTCTCTCCAAGCATTTTTAGTACATAACATAATGAAAAAAGACCTCAAGGAAAGAGATATAAAAACTACACCATAGATACAATAGAATATTAACCTAGCCAGAGGATTTGGGATGCAATGTCAGAGTCTGGAGCTGCTGGTTTAAATCTCCTGGATTCTGGATTATTTTACACTTGAGTGGACATTGTAGATCTAGAATAGGTATTCTAGATGTGTAATCTGACATTCTGGAGTAAACTGCGGGCAAAAATGGAGATAACCTAAAAATGCTCAAAAATTGAGATTTGTCCACAGACACGCCTGTCGGGTTTTTCTAGCCAAAAACTGACATTTTCCAAAAGTTAAAATTGTTTGTCTCAGACCATCATTTCACCCTTCAACAGATACTCTAGAGGGGTAGTTAAGGATTTTGGAGCATACTGGTGGCAGAAAAGGAGAAAGGAAAATGAGGAAAAACAGATTTTACCAAGAAATTTCCTAAATAACTTTCGGTGTCCTACCACTTCAAACAATTATTTTACACTTGAGTGGACACTGTAGATCTAGAATAGGTATTCTAGATGTGTAATCTGACATTCTGGAGTAGACTGCGGGCAAAGATAGAGATAGTGAGATCGTTTTTAAATGCCCAAAATTGAGATTTTTCAACAAACGCGTTCCTGTAGGTTTTTCCAGCCAAAAACTGACATTTTCCAAAAGTTAAAATTGTTTGTCTCAGACCATCATTTCACACTTCAACAGATACTCTAGAGGGGTAGTTAAGGATTTTGGAGCATACTGGTGGTAGAAAAGGAGAAAGGAAAATGAGGAAAAACAGATGCCACCTGGAGTGGTGTAATGGCTAGACGCTCACCTGCGGTTTGGAAGGTCGTGGGTTTGCTCCCTGGCAGAGCCAAACTTTTTTCAAAAATGACTGCCAGGTTGGCCCGGCCTTGAGTGGATACCAGGTGCAGTCCTGTAAAGTAAAGGTGGCCTGCGTGATGCTGACCACATCACCCATCTTGTTCCGTCGGCCTTTAAAATATAGGTTTAGCCCTATGTACCCAAGACGCCTGAAAGGCATGGAAACAGGTTGTTTACTTTACTTTGCTCTTCTTCTTCTTCTTCTTTGGGTTAACCAGCTGTAAACTCTGGTGGAAAGTTATGGTTGTTCGTCCACTTCTGGACTGCAGTCCTGTTCCAGAACCTGAGTTTTGCGTGTGCATCTATTTGACAGATCTGACACATTTGAGTGTAGACTGTTGGTTCCTTGCCTCTCAGGCAAATGCACTCGGACTTCGAAGGAAGCTTCCAATTAGTCGACTCTTACGACATGCTTTTGGGCAGGCAGTGGGTCTATTCTTGTTTTCCCTATAATAGGGGGGAAACGTACCTCTGCTTGATGTGAGTACAAATGATGAATAAATGAATGGTCATGTTCTTGTTTGTATTTAGATTCCAGCAGGTAGACTGTTTCATGCCTCAGGTGTAGTAGGTGATGCCATGTACATATTTGGAGGGACCATAGACAACAACATCAGAAGTGGGGAAATATACAGATTTCAGGTTTGTTGACAGTTTATAGCTGAACTAACAGTATTCCTTTAGGCATCATATTTAATTTTGAAGCTGCTGAATCAGACCTTTCCAGTGGCATTTGAGTTTGCTGCCTGCTTCAATGCTGCATTATTCTCCAGATAAGGCTTTGCTGACCCTTGATCCTGAGTGCGGCATCTTTGACATGGAAAACTGCACTGAAGATTGCACAGGACAGAAAAGCATGGAAAGTCCTCTCTGAAGCCTCATGTGCCACTAGGCATAATGAGAGCTGATGATGATGATGACCCTTGATCCTAAGGTAGTCAGCCAGGCAGATACTCAGACTTCTGGAACAATATGGAGACCCTGTTTGCATGTTGCACAAATCCCCTCATAGTTTACTCTTCCCTTTCTGCATTCACCCTTAATAGGGGATTGGCATATTGTATTCTAGTTTACAGCTTTTTCTGATTCTCTTCCACCATTGCCTCAGCAGTGTGTTTGGGGGTGATATTTACAGCCAGGCTATATTTGCACATTTTAGCCCAAAACATTGATTTCGGCAAACTTTTAAATTAATAATCTTTTGCAACACGTTTGTAAAGGGGCAGTTGATCTTTTTTTTTTTTTTTTTTTTAATGGGGCTACCCCAAGCCGACCAGTTGGAAAAAGGGTAGGGGTTCTCTTTAGCACTTTGAAATGGTAGGATCAGGTTGTGAGTGGTCAGGGCCATTTAAAAAAAATTTAAATATTTATACCTTGTAAAAATGTGGCTGTGAAGTGATTAGAAAGTATTATCATCACAGCACTCCGGACAGATCCATAGATGCTCCGATCTCCTCAAAAGTGCCACAAGTGTAAAACAACTGATGATGTAGTAGAGTTTTACTATTGGCATTAGTGTTTTGGAAAGGTGACTGTCGCTTTTATTAGATTAATTGTTGCCCCTGAGGTGTTGCACCAGGATGATATGCGATCTAATTCCTGTTGTAGATCTGAAACAATGTCATCTCTGTTCCTGTCCTGTCGGTACACAAGGATGTCATGTGCATATGATAGCGTTCTTCATCTGCCACTCAGCTGTTCTCCTGTGATCTTGCCTGTGTAAATGTTGAAGAGGATAGGAGACAATGGAGAACCCTGTGGCAAACCAGGGCGTATTGTTATCGGCTCAGAAGACCCAACTACCACATCGAAGCACAACCTTCCACTGGAAATGGGCAGCAGATATTCATCGATTGAGATGTGGAGGGATGCTTAGTTCATTTAACTGACACATTAGTTGGTGGAAGGGAACTTTGTTGTATGCATCCTCCAGATCTATAGTGACTGCACATGTTTCAAATCTAGCTTGAAAACCTTCAAATGTGTCATGTGCAAAGACGGCAGCATTACGCCATGTCTCTGTGTTTTGTCTGTATCCTCCAAGTGTGTAGGGTAGCAGCTGATGTATTTAAAGATGGCCTGCTATTATCTTTTCCAGTGTTTTGTCTAGTGTGTTCTGCATCGTAATAATTCTATAGCCATTTATGTGCATGGCGTCTTTGCCAAGTTTTTCTAGCCGAATCAAATAGCTATGCAGCCAGGTTTCTGAGATGGTACCATTAGAGATGATGTCATTGTAGGATTGTGTGGGCAGCTTGGCAATGTCTTCATAATGAATGCCATCAGGGCCAGGAGCAGACTTCTTTGATGTTTTGATGATGTTCTTAAATTCAGCGACCGTAATTAGCTGATCATCTTTAATGTATGTATCAGCACATTTTGCAACGACCATTTTCATGGTAGTCTGACGGGGGCAGTGTCTTGCGTGCAGATTTGCTTGAGGTATCTCTCAAGGAGTGCTCTTCCTTTCTCTTCATCAGACCTGTTTCATGTCTGGTCGCCATTACCGAAGTCTCTTATGTCTCGGCGCCTGGGAGCACCTGTCGTAGCCTTGCGTACGGAACATAATTTTGCAAGAGATCTTTCCTTGCACACTTCATGGCAAAATATTTCCCAAGTTGTGTCCTTGGCTTGCTGGGCAACTGCTTTGAAGGCTGCTGTTGTGGTCTGCATGGTGTGTTTGCATTCCCGCAATAGGTCTGAAGTAGAGTCAGTGGATTTCATTGCTTTCTGTCAGATCTTAACAGCATGTCTTTTAAGTGCCCACGCTGACTCAACCTCATCATTCCACCACAATGGTTGTTGCAGTTGTTTTCTTCGGTCCACTTGGTGTTGGCTTTTCATTTTCCTAAGCTTGCTTACGACATCATTTTCGGATGTGTATTTAAAAGGGTTTGAATTGATTCTATGATGTGTGCTGACACCCTTTTTAAAAAGAATAACACAGGGACAGTGGTCGCTGCCATGGTTGTTACCTAGTACATACCTAACAGTGCAGGTGAATCTAAAGCCAGGTCAAGCACACTGTCTTCTTCTTCTGGTTGATAGGCCATTCTGGTGATTCTTCCATCGTTTAGGCAGACTAGGTCCATTTCCACCATGGCATCCTCCAAATCCTCCCCTTGTCTGTTTGTAGAACTATTGGCCCACAGGTAACTTTTAGCATTGAAATTGCCAACAATAAAGTGAAACTTTAACATTAATTTGTGAAGAAAAAAATCTGAATAACAGTCACAGGGCAGGTTTTTTTTTTTTTTTAAATTTGGTGACATGTAAAAATAACTCATGCCTTTTAAAAAAAAAAATATATATATATACACTATAACCCACTGACTATCAAGCCCATTAACCCTTGCACTTTCTCCAGATATCACATGTTTTAGTGTGAACTAAAAATGCTATAGCTTCACAACTATTGGACATAATCTCACAATATTGTGTATTTTTGCACCGAATGAATGGAGAACAAATTTGAAGAAGAAAAAGTTGTTTATTTTGTTCTGCATCATCATCATGTGGCTGTAGATACTGCAGAAAAGGAAACCGAAAAATCTTTTATCTGACAACAAAAGAGACTAACAAAATTGTCATAACTTCATAAATATTTAACAAACATTTATCGTATTTTCAATTTTTGCACAAAATTGAACCAAAAACACATTTGAAGAAAAAAAAAATGATAGGTTTACTGGTCTGACATCATCATCATCGTGTGGCTGTAGGCTGGCGCAAAAAGAAGGCAACTGAAAAATCTTTTATCTGACAACTAAACAAATTTTATCGCTTCACATCTGTTGAAGATCACTCATTCTGTCTGGTATTTTTGCACCAAATTAAATAGATAACAAACTTCAAGAAAAAAACACTTGATTTATTTTGTTTGACATCATTATCATGTGGCTGTAGACTTAGTGCAAAAGGAAAAAAAGGCGACAGAAACATCTTTTCTCTGACAGCAGTATGTAGACTAAATTTCCTGACATATAAAACAAGAAATTGGGCTGTTTTATCAATTTAGAAAATGGTGTGCAATTTAGTAACAATGCAACAACAACAAAAATAAAGATATCTACCACTCACATTTATAAAATGTTACAACCAAAGTGTGTCAGTGTATGGTACAGTTCAAAGCATTGTTCAATACAAAGTGACAGCTGACATTCCCTGCACCAGTAACTTGTCATGGTTCCTTTCCTGATTTCTACATTATTCTTTTTGTACACATACTGTGCTCCTTCTTCTGGGTTTTGGGTTTGGAGCTGTTAGTAAAACTGGAGAAGGAAAGTTTCTGTCTGTCTGCTTCAAGGATCATACAATTTTTTTTTTTTTAAATGAGCACAAGGTGTTGTTGCTCTCTTTTTGCTGAAATAATCTAGTGTGAGAGCTGTGCTCAGTTGTGAAATAAAATTCTGCAACTTCAGAGGTGGCTTTCCATCCTGCAGTAATAGTTTCTGATGCGGTATGTGACTCTGAATAACTGTAAGAGTAAACAAATGACAAAATAATTTCCGCCACCATTTCAAAGAACAACGTCTAAGAGGGACATAAGCTAGCAACTGTTTACTGATGTCAGCTCCTGACATGTGAATGGAATAATGATTGATGGCTTGGTTTTATCTGCCTTCTGGTTCTAGTCTGAACTTCAACCATTGTGGAAGGATTGTGGACTGTGGTGATCAGACTGACTTCTTGTTTGTCTTTCCACTTCAGTACAGTGAAGTTTCCCTGCCCTCTAAATGATGTCTCTAGTTTTTGAGCTGCTAAATCCTCGGGCAAGCCCTTTCTGTTAGCACAAACAGTTCCAACTGTCATAGTTCCAGTCTGCAGTAGTGGATGTGACAGCTCAGGGCAGGAATAAACCAGTAAATGGCGGTACTTCAGGAAAGCCTTCCAAATCTCAATGCCAGTCATCAGTCATTGGGGGATGTGGCAAACCTTCCCCGGACTCGTCAGATAATGATGATTCTGCATCAAAATCGGCAATGATATCTTTGTCATGTGCAGGCTCAGACACAAAATCTTCATAATCTGCATGCTATTATTGAATACTCTCACAAGAACCATCAGTATCAGAAACTGCCGCACTAGTGCGTGCAGCCCACAGTGTAACTGCGGTCGAGTTCAAAGCGTTCATGCCATCATTTCATAGTGGAAAATGTTCTGAATGACACTTTGTTAAATTTATAAAAGTCACAGCCATCAAATTGTTTAGAAGTGTCTTCAAATTCACTTTTTGAAGCAAAATCAAGAAAATCACGTGCATCATCAGAAACATTATAAAAATGTGACCATCATGATGGTTCAGAGAATTTGATGCCTTATGAAAATTTCGTCGATATATCACTGACATGGGAGTTAACAATGACATGGGAGTTAACAATGACATGGGAGTTAACAATGACATGGGAGTTAACACTGACATGGGAGTTAACACTGACATGGGAGTTAACACTGACATGGGAGTTAACAATGACATGGGAGTTAACACTGACATGGGAGTTAACACTGACATGGGAGTTAACAATGACATGGGAGTTAACACTGACATGGGAGTTAACACTGAAATGGGAGTTAACAATGACATGGGAGTTAACAATGACATGGGAGTTAACACTGACATGGGAGTTAACAATGACATGGGAGTTAACACTGACATGGGAGTTAACAATGACATGGGAGTTAACAATGACATAGGCAGTGAGTGGGATAAAGCCTGAGATGACATAAATATTGCTGAAAAAACATTGGTGTAAACAAAGATAATAAGATAATTTTTCTTTTTTTTGGGGGAAACTTTCAGTAGAACAGACTAACTTTGTATTGATCTATTCTAGTTTTCCAGTTATCCAAAGTGTACAATCCATGATGACTATGGCAGGTTGCTGGAAAGCAAACAGTTTTGCGATGTAGATTTTGTTGTTGGTGAAGTTGATGTACGTATGAGTTTTATTTATATTTCTTATTCTTTACATTTACCTAAATGTATAATAGGAGTCAGAGGCATTATTTTAGAACAAGTACAGAAATTTGAGTATCTAGGCACATGGATAACTTCCGATGGAAGATGTATTACAGAGATAAAGAACAGAATAGGACAGGCCAAAACTGCCTTTTATAAAATGAAGAACATTTTGTGCAATATATCCATGTTATTGGAGGTTAGGAAAGGAATTCTCGCAATAAACAAGCCAAACAATATCTAGAGGCCTTGGAGATGTGGTTTTACAGAAAAATCCTTAGAATTCCTTGGACAGCTAAGAAGAGTAACCCAGACTATTTGAAAGGGACAGTTGCTCGATGACAGCTTATCACAAACATCAGATAGAGACAATCATAATTTTTGTGTGATATTATGAGAAGAGGGGAAATCTGGAACATATTGTGACCACTGGAAAGATTTGTGGAAAGAGAGACAGAGGAAGACAGCGGGAGAAGATTCTTGACAGCCTTTTGTCATGTCATGGAGGGGTGTCAACACACAAACTGAAACACACAGTTGCAGATCATGGATTGTGGAGAGGCGGCAAGGCACTTGATAATGACTTTTGTATAGCTGCATATTTTGCTCACTTTGACTATTACCTGTACCATTACTTCAGTTACTTCATGAAATGCACAGATGCAATATTTTCACTGAGGCAGATGCAAGCAATCTATTGAATACGATAAAAGTCCAGACCTCTTATTTATTGATCAAGAAAAGGCATTTGATCGAGTGAACAGAGGCAGACTGACAAAATTCTATAGATTATAGCATACAAGATCAACTGCTGGGCAACATCATGGCTCTTTGTCAAGATATTCAGTGCATAGTAAAATCAACAGAACAGATGACAGATTGGTTCCCCATCTCATCAGATGTCATACAGGAATGTGTCCTCTCACTATTGCTCTTCATTACTTATATGAATAGAATTACACAGGAAGCAAATACAGATACTGAAGAAACCAAGAAACTATTTTTTTCTGCAGATGGTCAGAGTCTAATATGCCATTCAGAACATAATTCACAACATCAAATTGACTCTTTATATCAAACATGCACAAAGTTGCATACAAAAATTAACAACGTGAAAACTTAGGTAACGATAATAGGCATGAAGTATAATAATATCAAACAAGTACGAAAATTTAAATATTTAGGAAGTAAATCTCCAAATTTACAGAAGATGGCAGACTCAGTCGAGAGATAGAAGCCAGAGGATAGAAGGTAAAGGCTGTCACCGGCTAGTTGCTTAGGCACCCAAGTATCTTCCTTTGAAAAAAAAAAAACAGCAAATAATTAAAAGCATCTTCATCCTTTCTTTATGCTTTCAGTGCCAAACATTGACAATGAATAGGGCACCAGAACAGAAAATAACTAGCTGTGAAATGTGAAGTCTCGGTAAGGTCACTAACAGCACAAGAAGGGACAGGGTTACAAATAGCAGCATTAGAGAGAAAGTTGAAATAAGAGTGAATTAGATTGACAGAAGCAGAATGAAATGATTCGGCCATCTAGCGAGAATGCAGCCAGAACAAGCTTTATACATGATCTTTTCACAGTAGAACATCTCGGATGAAGGTGAGAGAAAGACCAAGAAAGAGACTGATGTTTGGTGTAGCTGAAATCTGCAACAACAACAATACTGGGATATCAAAGCGAATCATTGCCTGATAAAAATCCGGGTGCCTTTGAAATGATTCTGTCCTATATTTACACAGACAGAATACAACCGAGGATAAAAGGTATATTTTATGAATTTATCAAACCACATTCTACTTGTAATTGGTATTGTAGATTGAATGATAGATTTTCCAAGCACATGGTCACAGATTGCAACCAAACTGGGATATCAAAGCGATTTTTCCCTGACAAAGAAGACACAAACAATAGATTACTAAATTTATGGTAAAACAGACAGTTTTTGAATGTAGTTGATTTTGAGTTTCAGTTGGAAGGATTTATTTAATTGTTTCATTTTAATCAATCGTTGCTGTAGTATGCACCTGATGAGATATCTATTGTTTGTGTCTTTTTTGTTCAAACTGGGATATATTATCATAGATTCTGTACCAAGCCATAATTCTCAGTAAATCAGGTCTATAGAATGAAAGTTGACCACACTAGTTGTCTGCTATCCTCAGTTGTATTTTTCTCTATGGCAGACTATTGTTCTTCCACCTCCTGATATTATCTTCCCATTTGTAAAGCTCATGCTCACCTGCCCTTTATGCTTGCCTTCATTATAGTTCTCATAAGGTGTCATGTGGTCAAATATTTGTCTTGCCTCTTTTATATTACTTCATTAGGGGTCCATTTAGGATCTTAGCCCCATCTTCTCACTTACATAAGGGATGTTGATATATTTCATATCCAGTGTGCAGTTATAGCCCCAGAAGCTACTGTTATATTGTTGACAGTAGAGTACCATATGACCTCATCTGTATGCTCAACCGATACTTTTCCACATGGTATCAGGGCTTGTAGTGAACCTCAAAAACATAAAAAACCTGGGAACTGTGTCTGTCTCTCTTTACCTGCCTTTCCCTGTCTCTATCTGTATCAAGTAAATTTTGGTTCAGTGGGATAGTTTTTCTTCTATTTGAATACCCTCTGAAGTTTTCCTTTTATCTCTAGTAAACAAATTTACAAGCTCAAACTAAGGTCTAGGTGTAATCCTCCCCCCACCCCCCCCAAAAAAAAACACACACATAAAGTAGTAGTCTTGGAGTCCACAAATAGACAGAGAGAAAAGGCAGACCTGTTAAACTGCTGTCAATAACTGACAGTATAACATAAAAACATGAGTATTAATATGATGGCCATCCAAAACGAAAATGGAGAAGTTTTTATTCTCCGAAAGAATGAAATGACAATCATCTAAGTAGAAATGTGTAACCAAATTTGAGTAAGGTTAAAAGAATGTATGAAAGTTGATCAAATTGCTAACAAAAGAAATAGTGGAGAGAGAGACAGACAGGCAGACAGATACAGAGAGAGAGAGAGACACACACACACTCCAACCACACACACACCACACACACACTTCACACACACACACACACGCCCCACACACACACGTTCTACACACGCATACGCCCCTACCCACACACAATAAATCACAAAACCGTTCTGTATTTTGCGTTTTTATTTTAACTGAACTGTTAACTCCTCCCAAGCTGTGACTAATACACTGGGCAAATTTTTAATCCCATTATGACTAGTTTAATTTAACCGTCATATTTGCGACCAGGTTATTCTGCATTTCTTTTATGTGTTGTGACAATCAGTAAAAATAAGCTTTTGCTTGGATTTTTGTCCCTTACATCCAGTATTTTAAATTACATTTTATTTTTATCTCCCTTGAAACATAGACTGTAAGATAGGGGCGTTAAAGGAGGTTGTTGCTTTATCGGTCAGATTTGAGGGACTGCCAATAGGATAGGAGTGTTAGAGGACATTGTTGCTTTATCGGACAGATTTGAGGGACTACCAATAGGATTCTTTCTTTCTCTTTCTCTCTCTTTCCTCTCTCTGTCTCTTTCTCTCTCTGGGCGTTAGAGGAGGTTGTTGCTTTATCGGTCAGATTTGAGGGACTGCCAATAGGATAGGAGTGTTAGAGGACATTGTTGCTTTATCGGACAGATTTGAGGGACTGCCAATAGGATAGGAGTGTTAGAGGACATTGTTGCTTTATCGGACAGATTTGAGGGACTGCCAATAGGATAGGAGTGTTAGAGGAGATTGTTGCTTTATCGGACAGATTTGAGGGACTGCCAATAGGACAGGAGTGTTAGAGGAGATTGTTGCTTTAAGTAGGACTACCAATAGATAGGGGCGGGGCGTTAGAGGAGGTTGTTGCTTTATCGGTCAGATTTGAGGGACTGCCAATAGGATAGGAGTGTTAGAGGAGGTTGTTGCTTTATCGGTCAGATTTGAGGGACTACCAATAGGATAGGAGTGTTAGAGGACATTGTTGCTTTATCGGACAGATTTGAGGGACTACCAATAGGATAGGAGTGTTAGAGGAGATTGTTGCTTTATCGGACAGATTTGAGGGACTACCAATAGGATAGGAGTGTTAGAGGACATTGTTGCTTTATCGGTCAGATTTGAGGGACTACCAATAGGATAGGAGTGTTAGAGGACATTGTTGCTTTATCGGACAGATTTGAGAGACTGCCAATAGGATAGGAGTGTTAGAGGAGGTTGTTGCTTTATCGGACAGATTTGAGAGACTACCAATAGGATAGGAGTGTTAGAGGAGATTGTTGCTTTATCGGTCAGATTTGAGGGACTACCAATAGGATAGGGGCGGGGCGTTAGAGGAGGTTGTTGCTTTATCGGTCAGATTTGAGAGACTGCCAATAGGATAGGAGTGTTAGAGGAGATTGTTGCTTTATCGGACAGATTTGAGAGACTGCCAATAGGATAGGAGTGTTAGAGGAGGTTGTTGCTTTATCGGACAGATTTGAGAGACTACCAATAGGATAGGAGTGTTAGAGGACATTGTTGCTTTATCGGACAGATTTGAGGGACTACCAATAGGATAGGAGCGGGGCGTTAGAGGAGGTTGTTGCTTTATCGGACAGATTTGAGGGACTACCAATAGGATAGGAGTGTTAGAGGACATTGTTGCTTTATCGGACAGATTTGAGGGACTACCAATAGGATAGGAGTGTTAGAGGACATTGTTGCTTTATCGGACAGATTTGAGGGACTACCAATAGGATAGGAGTGTTAGAGGACATTGTTGCTTTATCTGTCAGATTTGAGGGACTGCCAATAGGATAGGAGTGTTAGAGGAGGTTGTTGCTTTATCGGTCAGATTTGAGGGACTACCAATAGGATAGGAGTGTTAGAGGACATTGTTGCTTTATCTGTCAGATTTGAGGGACTGCCAATAGGATAGGAGTGTTAGAGGAGGTTGTTGCTTTATCGGTCAGATTTGAGGGACTGCCAATAGGATAGGAGTGTTAGAGGAGGTTGTTGCTTTATCGGACAGATTTGAGGGACTACCAATAGGATAGGAGTGTTAGAGGAGGTTGTTGCTTTATCGGTCAGATTTGAGAGACTGCCAATAGGATAGGAGTGTTAGAGGAGATTGTTGCTTTATCGGTCAGATTTGAGAGACTGCCAATAGGATAGGAGTGTTAGAGGAGATTGTTGCTTTATCGGTCAGATTTGAGGGACTACCAATAGGATAGGAGTGTTAGAGGACATTGTTGCTTTATCGGTCAGATTTGAGGGACTACCAATAGGATAGGAGTGTTAGAGGAGGTTGTTGCTTTATCGGACAGATTTGAGGGACTACCAATAGGATAGGGGCGGGGCGTTAGAGGAGGTTGTTGCTTTATCGGTCAGATTTGAGGGACTACCAATAGGATAGGAGTGTTAGAGGAGATTGTTGCTTTATCGGTCAGATTTGAGGGACTACCAATAGGATAGGAGTGTTAGAGGACATTGTTGCTTTATCGGTCAGATTTGAGGGACTACCAATAGGATAGGAGTGTTAGAGGAGGTTGTTGCTTTATCGGTCAGATTTGAGGGACTACCAATAGGATAGGAGTGTTAGAGGAGGTTGTTGCTTTATCGGACAGATTTGAGGGACTACCAATAGGATAGGAGTGTTAGAGGACATTGTTGCTTTATCGGTCAGATTTGAGGGACTACCAATAGGATAGGAGTGTTAGAGGAGATTGTTGCTTTATCGGTCAGATTTGAGGGACTACCAATAGGATAGGAGTGTTAGAGGACATTGTTGCTTTATCGGACAGATTTGAGGGACTACCAATAGGATAGGAGTGTTAGAGGACATTGTTGCTTTATCGGACAGATTTGAGGGACTGCCAATAGGATAGGAGTGTTAGAGGAGGTTGTTGCTTTATCGGTCAGATTTGAGGGACTACCAATAGGATAGGAGTGTTAGAGGACATTGTTGCTTTATCGGACAGATTTGAGGGACTACCAATAGGATAGGAGTGTTAGAGGAGGTTGTTGCTTTATCGGACAGATTTGAGGGACTGCCAATAGGATAGGGGCGGGGCGTTAGAGGAGGTTGTTGCTTTATCGGTCAGATTTGAGGGACTACCAATAGGATAGGAGTGTTAGAGGAGATTGTTGCTTTATCGGTCAGATTTGAGGGACTACCAATAGGATAGGGGCGGGGCGTTAGAGGAGGTTGTTGCTTTATTGGTAAGATTTGAGGGACTGCCATTAGGAAAGGGGCGTTAGATGAGGTTGTTGCTTTATCGGTCAGATTTGAGGGACTGCCATAGGCTGAGTTTTAACTCTGAGTCACTGGCCCTTCACTGCGAAGGGGTCCTAAGGTGACAGTAGTGCTAACTGTGGGAAGTACTGGTATAGAACATTCCTACACACCACCTTTAGCCATGCCTCAGAGGCCAGCTTGTGCACCCTGTAAACATTTATTTGCTGCAGAAAATTTAGAGAGTCATCAGACGCACTAAAATGGGACATTGACGGGTTTAGGAAACAAGGGAGTCCAAGAGAAACCTAAAGAAGGAAGGCTCATGTTGTGCTTGCTCCTCCTTGGAGTTTCTACTACATTTACGGCAGCGGTTTAGACAAAGATGAGAATTAAACTTTCTTTCACTATCCCGGGCCATTAAATCTAGTAAATATATAAAACCAATGCAGACATTAACTAGAAATTACCAGAATTAATAACATTGATTTTTATCCAAAATTATCCTTTTCCATAATATCAAATTATGAGATTGGATTATTGCATAACTAGTGAGATAATGAACTACATCGGTTTGAGGCCCATATAAAACAATTCAAGGAGATTGTCATCAATTGTGTATTCTTTTTTTTTAATAAACTCCTTTCAAACAGCTTGTTAACAAATCAGTTTAAAAAAATAGTTATTGTAATGGTTGTTATGAAATGTGTGTTAAGCTGCCGTGTGTCAAGCTTTGCTGTGTGTAATTATTTGTTGTGTGTAATCCAGGAAACAGTTTTTTTTCTAATTGATAGTGTACTTAACATACAGGACAGGAACCCAGAAATAATGATGCAATCCTTGCCATGCTGGAGGTTTACAGACTGTCGTTGCAGGTATATGCCAGATAATTCTTGACTAAGTCTAACTGTCATGTCGTGCACTTATCAAATCCTGCTTCTGCTTTGCATGCCTTTTTTAATTAACTTTTGCAGTACAGTATCCATTAGATGTTTGAGAATTTTAAATGCAACATTAGATGCACACACACAAATTAAAGAAATAATTGGTCAGGTTTTTTTGTGTGTGTGGGCTACTCTGCGGCAGTCATATTTTTTTGTAATCATAACTCAGTTTTCTTAATTCAAATTGATTTCTTGGTCATTATTAGTCGAAGACTGCAAGAGTAACTTCTTTCATACCACTATCATCTGTGATCACAAAATGATTAATTTTTTAAAAATAATAATATTTATTATCATTTCACTTGCTACTACCAGCATCCACATTATGTTAACTCTTTGAGTCCCAGAATGTTAAGCATCCCAGGCCCAATGGGTAGTAACGAGAGACGTAAAATCGGCGCATCTTGCGTTGACTGGGCTTCTAGGTAGGAACCTATGAACATATGATACGCTCCTTGGTACTCAAAGAGTTAATGAGTATCTTTATTATCATTTAATTTTCTGTTGTCATCTTTATGATTAATAAATTTTCTGTTGTAATGTAGTTAAAGACGGGGTAACTGGTAGAAATATTAAAATAAGAATACAAAAGGCAAGAGGAGCTTTCATAGCACTAGGGAATTTGTGGAGGTTAAAAGAAATAAGAAACTTAAAATTTTTAATTCTTATGTCAATTTTGTATGGGGCGGAAACATGGAGAACAACTGAGGCAATTACTAATAAATTACAGGCATTCATTAACTGGTGCCTGCGCAGAATAGAGGGAATTAAATGGTATGATAGAATAACTGATTTAGAGCTTTGGGAAGAAACTAAGCAAGCTCCAGTGGACCAAGAGGTGAGGAAAAGACGCTGGCGTTGGATAGGACACACATTGAGGAAACCAGAGAACAGCATAACTAGAATGTCTGCATTAGAACCCACAGGGGCATAGGAATAAAAGAAGGCAACACAAAAAAAACACATGGAGAAGATAGCTGCAGAATGAAGTTAGAAAGATGGAGAGAGCTTCCTGTAATAGCGAAGGATAGAACAACTTGGCAGGAGTTGGTTGAGGGCCTATGCTCCAATGGAGAATAGAAAGGCAGTAGAAGAAAATCACTGAACTGATAGCAACAGCAGTAACATGTTGAATTGATTCTGTTTTATGTTTCCCTAGAATCACATCTTATGAATTATGTCCTTTCACAGCTTGAAATGGGTCGTTTGCAACAACTGTGCGTTCAGTTTTTAGAGGCAAGCATCGGAATCAAAAGTGTTCTGTTTGCACTACACAATGCTGCAAGACTGCAGCTTGACTTCTTGAAGGTACTATTTTAGAGATCAGCATAGACTATTAACCATTTCACCTTGAAAGAATATTACACAATTTATTTTATCAAATTTTCATTTTTTTTTTTTTTTAATGCATTGTTGGAATTCTCTGCCCTAAGAAACGAGGGGAAGAGAAGAAGCAGGAGAAAAATTTTTTGTGTGTGTCTTAGGCAGTTTTTTTTTTCCTCAAGGGGCCGAACTCATAGGCCACTGAGCACGAAGTCAGGCAGATGTGAAGTCCACAGCTGCATCACAGTTGTCAAATCAGAAAATAATTCAAAGTAATTTTCATTGTGGTTTTTTTCAAAAACACATTTGTAAGTAAGGGAATGAATCACTACAAGCAAACAGAGCAAAAAAGTTACTGCTTTCCTTCACTTGGACAATGATAAATCTGGTTTTTGTTCACTTTACTCTTAATGGCTAAGTCAACAAAACCACACTATACAACTGCAACTAGTAAGAAAGTAGTTATATAGGTGTAGTGGCTACTGCCCAAAGACTTGGTGTCATCAAAAACCTGTATATGCCAGAAAATTAATTGCAAGAAATCAACTCAAATCATGTTTTTAATTTTCAACTATAATGTTGTATACAAAGATGTGCAAATATAACATCAAAGGCTGGACTTCAAATAAATTATGAAAAGACAAGAGATATTTAACTCTACCAGACTGATGTCTCGCTACTGCAGTAATTTTCGAACTTGCCACTATACCTTTGTCCAGATTTTTCGGGAATTTGCGTACTACATGATACAAGCGCTACAAACTAAAAATAACCAACCGATTGTGATCAAACCACGTGGTTAGTTACTGCGAATGGCTGCCCACATGTGTTTGGATTTACCTTATGTGGTTAAACGTGAAAAAAAATTATGAAAATTCACAATAAAACAAGCCGCTAATGAACTAAGCACTTCAGCAGGAAACTGAAGTAGGTCTAGGCTTTTCACAGTCCAATAGATGATCAATACTTTGGTTGATTCAGACTCTGTCGGGTCATAATTTCATAAAGAATACGTTCCTAGTTGAAGTGACACAGTCAGTGAGAGCTTGAATGATGCGGAGAATCTTGAGAATTATAAATCTAGAAATAAATCGATTGTAGGAGAAGGGGGCGTGTCCCTCAAACAGCAACATCTGGTGTTCACTTTGTGAAACAAGGCTGATCTGCTGGGTCGATTGGCACACACAAAGTGGAATATTGGCGCTAGATAAAAGGTTAACCTATTTTCTACAATGTCTCCAAGTTTCATTTTAATCTAGCCACTTGTTTGCATGTAACACTAGAGGCAAAAGTAATTAAAGTAAAAGCTCAATTTACTTATTTAGGTAATATTTTGATAGTCAAGGAAAAACAAATAATGAAATTATGGCACACTTTGGCAAGGCATCAGCCTTTTTTGAAAAGCCTAAACAAATATATAGAAAATTATAGAACTCTAAACTATATAGTTTTAAGAGCAAGCTACGTATTTTCATTTCTACTGTTATTTCAATTTTAACATCATCATCAAGTGCCTTGCTGACTGGCATGGGCAATTATGTCTCTCCGCAATCCGCAAATGTGTCTATCAGTTCGTGTGCTGACACCCTTTCACGCCATGACAAAAGGCTGCCAAGAATCTTCTCGCTCTGACTTCCTCTTTCTCTTTCCACAGATCCTTCCAGTGGTCACAACATGTTCCATTTTCCCACTTCTCATAACATGACCCCAAAAAAATGACAACTGTCTCTTTCTGATGTTTGTGATAAGTTGTCTTCAAGCACTCACCTCTTTAAAAACATTTAGTCTGCTCTTCTTAGCTGTTCAAGGAATTCTAAGGATTCTTCTGTAAAACCACATCTCCGAGGTCTTCGGATATCGTTTGGCTTGTTTATTAATAGTCCAGGATTCACAGCAGTATACTAAAACTGGCATTATATAGTGAGAATTCTTTTCCTAACCTTCAAGAGACATGAATTTATTGCAAAAAATGTTCTTTATTTTATAAAAGGCAGTTTTAACATATGCCAATGAAAGTTTGAGAACCACAGAAGCATAAAATGAAAATTAAATGCATTTGAAAACAAATGCCCAAGGAAAATGGTGAACATAAAATTGGATGAATTCAAGATGAATTAAAGAGGGGTGAAGAAAAAAGAAAAATGTCCCAAAAGTTCTGGACTGGATTCCGTCCATGATATTGAATTGATTGCACAAGACCGAACAGAGAGGGGGGGGGAGTCTATGAGCACTAAGTGACATAATGGCACAACAGGACAGTGATCTGTTACTTAAGTCTTCTTCTTCTTCTCTTCCACCTTGTACCCCATCGAAGTGTCGGGGTGAGGGGGGGGGGGGGGGAGGGGGGATGTAATATACGTTGAAGAGCTCTGTCAAGAGCACTATTAAGACTGATGTTCATTTCTGTAAGGCTGTTCTTAATGCCATCACTCCATATTTTCCGAGGTCTTCCACTCGCTCTATACCCAGTGTAATGTTTGAGTGTGGCTCGCTGTAGCAGATAGTACCAGGGCATTGTTGTTAGGTGTCCAAACCACTTTATTTATTGTTCTTTGGTAAATTTCAAAATGTTAATAATCCAATGGAGAAAACTCTGGAACATGATAATATTAGCTCATGTTTAAAGAATAAGAGTATTAAAGTCATTGTGATTGAATGATGTTGTTGCAGAAAATAATCCAACACAGAAAGATTATTATAATAAAATGTAACCTTTACACTGCATAGATAATAGAATATGACTTTGAATTCTGAAGTTGAGAATTAACAGAGCATATGGATCGTAAAATTTGATACAGTTTCAAGATTCCTCTAGTGTTTTAATCTTGTCAAATTTTATTCTTGCAACTATTTAATGCCAGTACAAATGATGACATTTATTATTATATCTAGGGCTTCTGTCTTCGCTTCATTGTAAAAGAAGCAAACTTTAATCAGATTGTAATGAGCAAAGAATTTGAAACCCTGGAAAAATCTCTCATTGTGGAAATCATTAGACGGAAGCTGGAACCACCTGTTCGATTGTTAGATCCACAGCCGGAACCTTTAGCAAGTGAGTTACTCTATCATCTTCATCATCATAAACCATTTCTGCTGTTAAGCGTCGTGGGGAGGAATAATTTGCGATCCAGTGCACGCTGGCTGACACTGACTATTGTCATACCGTGAAGGTGAAGAGTCTTTAATGTTGTCGATAAATATTTTTCCGCGGCTCTCCTCTTGTAGCTGATCTTATGAGATGTAATGCTTGTGATGGTATCTGATCTTGCTGCAATTTAACGAGATGGCCAAACCACTTGATCTGCTGTTTCTCGATGAATCTAGTACAAGGTGTTGTTCCCACAATTTGCCTTACAGTTTCATTATTCACCTGATCTTGGATGGTTAAGTTGGCTGCTTTTCTCAGGCATCTCATCTCGCAGGTGGTGATTTTGCGTATATGGGCTTTAGATAGTGTCCATGTTTGGCACTGGTAGCTTAATGTTGGAATGAATATGCTGTTAATAATCTGTCTTTTTGCACTCATAGTTATGCTTGGATGTCATGATAATGGTGACAATTGGTATATAAGTGCACTTGCTTTCTGGCATCTGGTTTCTATTTCTCTGTCAATATTCTACCATCTTCTGTGATCATACTTCCTAGATATTTAAACTCCCTAACTTGATTCAGCAGGAAGGAGGGGTAGGGGCCGACCGACACGAAGATGGACACAGGATATAAGTGACTCCTTGAGTGTGAAAGTGCATGAGGCAGGAGAACTGGCGAGAGACTGAGTTTCTTTTAGGCAGACTGTGATGAGAGCGACGTTCTGCAAAGGACCTGCTACGTGATGATGAACTTTATTCAGAGCAGAACCATTCAGCTGTATGTGTAGTGGGCCAAGGGTTCTACTAACTTGCATTGTTTCGGTTTTGTTTGCATTGATCTTCATGTTGTATTTACTACATGCTGAGTTTAACCTGTTAATGTGGTCTTGCAGTCTATCTTCTTCAGGATAGAACAAACACCAGTCATCAGCAAATAGTAGTTTGTTTAATGTGGGTGAATTGATAACTTCTCCTGATGTGTGTACTTCCTCGTGATTATAAAGATCTATTTTGTCTGTATCAGAACTTGCTTCTATAGATATTCTGTCTATATAAATGTTAAATAAAAGCGCGGAGAGCACACATCCCTGTCTCACACCTGTGTTGACTGTGAACATATCTGATTTGCCTTCTTGTGTTCTTATTGCACTTTGGCTTGTGTGGTACATGGCAATGATTTTCTGTAGTAACTGTCCTTGTACCCCATAGTTCTCAAGAACAGACCACAGTTTGTTTCTATCCACTCTATCAAAAGCTTTTTTCTGCCTCTACCTCTTTTAGACAGTATGTTTTTTTTTATTGTAATCTTAATGTATACACACATATGCACACACATCTATACATATATTTATATTGCAGGCAATTCTTTGGAACAAGATCTGGCACAGTTTAGATTGAATGGACAAGAATTCTGCGATATCACACTTGCACTAGATGGGGCCCACATACCAGCTCACAAAGCCATTCTTGGTGCTAGAAGCAGTTACTTTGAAGCCATGTTCAGGTCGTTCACTCCCCAGGATAATATTGTCAATGTGAGCTTAAAATAATGAGACAGTGCTTTTTTATTAACTCTTTGAGTCCCAAGAAACGCATCATACTTTCATAGGTTACTGCCTAGAAGCCCAATGAACGCATAGTGCAAACGATTTTACGTACCTGTTGACTACCCTTGGGCCTGTGATGCTAAATCCTCTGGGACTCAAAGAGTTAATAAAAGTAGACTTTTGTTTTTGATGTACAAATACAGATTTATATTTAGTGTCTTCTTGAATTCTTGTTTAATAGTAATCGCTCCATGATTTGGAGAATACAGATACATTTATATTTAGATGGTTGAAGTTAATGTAATGCTGAATGCTTTTAATCAATTTATATTTTTCTTCATCTTTTATCATCAGATGGCTACCACAGGTTGTATACCTATGTTGTAGTTATTTAAATTTCACTTCTTGATAGGTTTGAGTAAAGGATTTGTTCACCTGTCTCCATGATTAAGCTACACTGTCTATCCATCTCTTCCTTAGTCTTCCTCTCCCCTTCTGCCCAGATGTTCTGCTCCAGAAGGTATCATATACAGTTAGGTCAGGCTGCATTCGGACAAGATGACCAGACCTCTTCATTCTCTATCTGTCAATGTCATTCAAACATGATTTTGCTCTAACCTTCTCTCTGATACTAGTATTCATGAACCTGTTCCTTCTTATTTTTGGTGACTTTTTAGAAACCACACATTTCACACGCACTTATTTTGTGTTTCTTGTCCATGTCTGTCAGTATCTTGGCTTAGGTGTTGCAAACGCACTTTGTAGGACTTCCGGCCAAAATGAAGGAAAGGATTGGCAGAATGTTGAGCTTTGAAGTTATTTTTGCTTCCGACAGTGCTTTGCTAATGCAGTTTCCACATAAGGACAGTAGTCTACAGTTTCGCTGCCTGAGCTACTGAGTTTAGTGCTTGCTGCAGCCCTGTGAGCTGTGTTTTTCCTATGGAATGCCTTTCATTTGCGCAGCTGTTGTGGCGTTTTGTTGAATATGGCCGGTGGCTGGTTTACGTGTGAGCTGGTGAAATACTTTGTGTAAGAATTTTACGTGTGTGGGGTAACCAGCTTATCATGCCTGACCACTTCCATCCATGACAAACTGCATTTCTGGTGCCGATTGTTGGTTTTGGCGCCTCTAGCAATTGAAATACGCATTTACTGTGTATGCATATTTCTGGATTATTCCGGAACTAGTTTGTTCACCAGTTTTTCCTATACAACAATGAGGGACATTTCATTTGATTTGCACTGGCACAGGAACAGAGTAAATATGGGGAAACCTGATTGTGGTGATGTTGAAACCCTGACTAACTAACACACTTTGCAATGCCAGAGTGCCGGGTTCGATCCCAGCTGGTTTTGACAGTGGTATTGAGAGCCGACTGTCCAGAAGGCAATGGCAAAATACTGGATGTGAATTTGCCTAGAAAAACCACAACAGCCAAACAAACAAACGTCCTGTAAAGGATATGAAACTAACTTTTTTTTTTTAAACTGTCGGTGTCTAGCACTAATAGCATAAAGTGGGTACAAAGATGCTATTTATCAATTACATATTGTTAGAAGGGAGATTTTTGTGGTCTGGTACAGGGTCATTGGCTATATTTTCTTTTCATAACCAGATTGCAATTGGAGAAATGGTGCCATCCCGGCAGGCATTTGATAGTCTGATGCGATACATCTACTATGGAGACGTTGTAATGCCCCCAGAAGATTCACTGTATCTGTTTGCAGCTCCATATTTTTATGGGTTTACAAATAATCGGTTGCAAGTGAGTGTTTTACCATCTTATAATATGTCATAAATATACTTAAGGAATATCACGCTCAAGTTTTTTTTTTTTATATTACAAACTGCTCTTATGAACCTGTAGTACTGTTTGTTACTTTTCAGCTATACCCTTATTGTTTGCTGTTTTGTTTTAATGATTTAAACTACATAGTCATTGCATTTGAACCGGTAATAAGGTTTTTATTACTGAGTTACAACACTGATTTTAGATATTCACACTGTCCAGGAAATATAATGTCTTAATTTATTACTCAAGAATTAGTTTTTAAAACCCTACAGACAGAAAAGTGAAGAAAAACCAGCTGCAAACTGTATCGTCAAAGAATTCCTTTTTGGCAGACAATCACGCACTAAATGCCACTTTGGAAACAGAACAACAAGAGTACATAAGTTGATTAAACCAAGTATACACTCTGTCATCAACAGAACAGAGATCTTATGCAGAGAAGAAAAAAACAAAACAATCAAGATCAAACTTGTCGACTTGTATGAGGCTGGAGTTTATATCCTTTCCCTGTGTAGTTATTATCATGTATTCTGTCTTATCGTGACTGATAACTAGTCCCATTTTCTGAGCTGATTCTTTTAAGAGAATCAGTGTTTGTTAGTCTCTAGTTCATTTTCTCCAAGAATATCAATGTCATCAACATATCCAAGTATTCCTCTAGATTCTCCTACAGTACACTCTTGTTTCAGTTTCCTTATAATTTTCTCTGGAGCCAAGTTGGATAGAAATTGAGATAAAGCACCACCTTGCTGTAATTTATTTGAAACGGATCTGACTTTCTGCCTTTATATATTACTATATTACAAGTATCTTCCATACATAGTTTGGTCATGGTAATTAACTTCTTTGGTATTCCAAATTTCTTCCTAGCATTCAAAAGCTTATTACAGGTTTTCAGAAACAGAGTATTACGATGAATCTTTGGATCTATCAAAGATGTAAACAGCCGGGAATGGAGAGTGAAAAGCAACAATTAAATTCATAATCTGTTCAAATCACCACTGATCGTTGGCATCATGAGAGCTAATAAGTTGAAATGGCTGGGGCATATTGAGAAAATGTCAGATGACAGAAAAGTGAAAAGTGTGAAAAGACACGAGGGAGATGAATGGTCGTAGACCACGAGGCAGAACAAGAAGATGGAGAGATAATGTCCAGACAGACCTACAAACACTTGGTGTCACCGACTGGAAAGAGAAGGCCAACCAGAGAGATGAATGGAGGCGGGTGATATCTGCAGCAATGAACCTCTAGGACTCCGAATGCTGAAGAAGGCCAACCAGAGAGATGAATGGAGGCGGGTGATATCTGCAGCAATGAACCCCAAGGGCTCAGAATGCTGAAGAAGAAGAAGAAGAAGAATCAGCCTTGTGTTGTGGATTAGCACCTGAGACAACAGATCACCTCCTCCAAGACTGTCCCAGGTGCAACATATCAAGGCAACACTTTTGGCCACGAGAAACCCCGGTGCAAGCCCAACTTCACGTGTCGCTGATTGAATTACAACAAACAGTGTTCATACTAGAGACAACATTGCAGATATAGATAGTCTATTTCAAGCATACGAAAGAAGACAACGTTGCAGATATATAGTCTATTTCAAGTGAACGAAAGAAGAAGAAGAATATAAGCGGGCCTATGAATGTAGAAAATAAATTGGAATCCAAGTATTATTAAACAGTGGTGATAGTACCTCTTTTAATTGCTTTACTATTGTAAAGTGAGGTAATAGTCAATAAATAAAAGCAGATAAAGAATTATATATTTCTGAATAATTTTGACTAACCTTGGCAGTTTCATGTCATGCTTATCCTTTCCCCCCCCCCCCCCCCCTAATTTTTGTCAATGGAAATTGATGCCCTATAAATGTAAATTTTGTCTGGGTAGTTTTGAGGAGTAATCTAGTCAGTGCCTCAACATCTTACTAAACACTAACAATATCAGCTTCATTTCAGTATTCGGTGGTAAAGCAGAATGGAGGAGAGTTGAGATTTGCCGACCATGCAGTGAAACAATTAAATCTTAAAATATGCATTCAGTTTTTAGCTTGTGTAGTAGTCTAATCTCATTATTGGTTTGTTTCAGGCATTTTGCAAGCACAATTTGGAAATGAATGTTTCATGTCAAAATGTTATCCAGGTATTTTTTCCCCTGAAATTAATTGCATTAATTGTACTAAATAGTGAGGTATTTTTGTATCATAACAGGTACATTTAATGTTTACAAAATAGTTTACTGGGACCCTACTTTAGGGGTCATGCCATGAAGTGATTAAGCTGTTTGAGCTGGCTCCGAAGGTTGTCAGTTCAAATTTAAACTTATTTGATCATTAGTGTGGATGTTTGAATGGTTATGTGTGTTTGTGGACGTTTCAATGGTTATGTGTGTTTGTGGATGTTTCAGTGGTTATGTGTGTTTGTGGATGTTTCAGTGGTTATGTGTGTTTGTGGATGTTTCAATAGTTATGTGTGTTTGTGGATGTTTCAGTGGTTATGTGTATTTGTGGATGTTTCAATGGTTATGTGTGTTTGTGGATGTTTCACAGGTTATGTGTGTTTGTGGATGTTTCAGTGGTTATGTGTGTTTGTGGATGTTTCACTGGTTATGTGTGTTTGTGGATGTTTCACTGGTTATGTGTGTTTGTGGATGTTTCAGTTGTTATATGTGTTTGTGGGTGTTTCAGTGGTTATGTGTGTTTGTAGATGTTTCAGTGGTTATGTGTGTTTGTGGGTGTTTCAGTGGTTATGTGTGTTTGTGGGTGTTTCACTGGTTATGTGTGTTTGTGGATGTTTCAGTGGTTATGTGTGTTTGTGGATGTTTCAGTGGTTATGTGTGTTTGTGGATGTTTCAGTGGTTATGTGTGTTTGTGGATGTTTCAGTGGTTATGTGTGTTTGTGGATGTTTCAGTGGTTATGTGTGTTTGTGGATGTTTCAGTGGTTATGAGTGTTTGTGGATGTTTCAGTGGTTATGTGTGTTTGTGGATGTTTCACTGGTTATCTGTGTTTGTGGATGTTTCACTGGTTATGTGTGTTTGTGGATGTTTCACTGGTTATCTGTGTTTGTGGATGTTTCACTGGTTATGTGTGTTTGTGGATGTTTCAGTGGTTATATGTGTTTGTAGATGTTTCACTGGTTATGTGTGTTTGTGGATGTTTCAGTGGTTATGTGTTTGTGGGTGTTTCAGTGGTTATGTGTGTTTGTGGATGTTTCAGTGGTTATGTGTGTTTGTGGATGTTTCAGTGGTTATGTATGTTTGTGGATGTTTCAGTGGTTATGTGTGTTTGTGGATGTTTCAGTTGTTATATGTGTTTGTGGATGTTTCAGTGGTTATATGTGTTTGTGTATGTTTCAGTGGTTATGTGTGTTTGTGGATGTTTCAGTGGTTATGTGTGTTTGTGGATGTTTCACTGGTTATGTGTGTTTGTGGATGTTTCAGTGGTTATTTGTGTTTGTGGATGTTTCAGTGGTTATTTGTGTTTGTGGATGTTTCAGTGGTTATGTTTGTTCTCTTTCGAGCTTTAGATTTTTGTGCTTTTTGCAGTGTTCTTTGCAGGTGAACAGCTGCTTGGTAGAGAAATAGACCAAGGTCAATTTTAAAAATGTGTGGTGAATTTCTAATCCTTCGGAAAGGAAGAGAGGAGTAGTCGGTGGATTGGTGGAAAAGAGGCGGGGGAATGGCAGAAACTGTTAACTGAGAGAGCTTCAAACATGACATGATTTTACAGTTTTCATTTTTTTTATTATTTATATTTAAATAACGCTACCTCAGCTATTCTCATTTTTTGGCGACGATTTTATTGGTATTGTTTAGACATACAGTAGTAACTTTACTTTGAGCTTTTAAAAAATTCAAAAGCTTTAGCATGTGATAAACAAATAACCATTTTTAAAAGTCTCAATAATACACTTTAAACGACCACTTGTATAAGTATACACCTATCTGTTGTGTGTTCTAGAGTCGGCAAACCAGACTATCTGCACAGACAATGGTTGTAAAATTAATAATCTTAGACAGGTGCGCTTTCTGTTTTCTTTCTTATCCATTTAGCCAGTCTGGGCCACAGCAACTCATGGCCGGGTACTGCTAGTAACTGTATAAGTAGACTATAACATTTATTATTAGTAAAATAATTATCCCTGCAGAAGGGATTTAAGAGATTTACATGTTGATTTTTTTCTCTCTAGATTCTGGAAGCTGCAGACAAAATACAAGCCACTGACATGAAGAAACATGCCTTGAGTATTATTGTTCATCATTTTCCTAAAGCAAGTCTTCATCTTTCTTGTGTGTGTTTACGTTGGATTTACATTATGTATACAAATTGCACTGGTTAAAAACCAGGAAACAACAATAGTGCTACAAGATTTCAGTGCAAAGAATCGAGGAGATAATACTGACGCATGTGAACTTAGAGAGATAAATATTAGAAGAAAAACTGGTTGAATGGAATATGGTAATTGTTTACACAGGCATTTGGCAATGTCCTAGACACATTCAAATGTAGAGAAGCTCAGGAAGTAATTTTTGCAATGAAATCTATTACCTACCCATAAACAGTTGATTTAGAAACAGCCTACTGCAGGTGAACACTAGACCACAGGCAGATTACAGTCGTTATCAAATATCAGTTAATGGAGCTGTAAAAGTGAAGAAATTAAAAAGTAAAAGTAAAGATCCCTTTTCACGCCTTCAGGTGTATCGGGTAAATGGCAGGAGCGCCCATATTTGTACAGACCATCGACACTAGGTGCGTAACGTGGTCAGCACCACACCAGGCGTCTTTACTTCCCCGGAACAGCTATTCCTGGTACCCATTCAAGGCTGGGTCGACCTGCGATGCCCCATACCATGATAAAAATCCATGCCGCCAGCAGTGCGTTTTGATCGCGGTGCATTTGAATTACAAGTCGGACTCGCAATGTCTAAGCCACGGACGCCGAAAAAATTTAAAGAAAGCTGCAAAAATGCCAAGTTAGATTTTGAAGTATTTGAGAGTTGAGTTCAACTGAGTTAATAAATAACATCACAGCTCTCAGGAATTCCCATAAGTGCTCCATCGCCATCTTCAACTGCCACTGAAGAGTTCCGTTGTCTATAGTACCAATAATAGTTTGATTATACATCCGTCTTGCCTCATGATTGTAGAGTGTCAGCCTTATTCCCTGGTCACTCCCTGGTCACTCCCTGCTTCGGTGTTCTCATTCACCTTCCTCTAGAGAGCCTTGATCACATTTGGCCTATTAGGCATCAGTTCACTATCCACTGGTGCAGCACCATCCAGTCTGTCTGCCTGTTCATTTCCCAAAAAACATACATACTCTGGAAGAACAATCTAAAGGATACTAACTGCCAGAGTGTTCAGCATGCTTTGGGAGTCTGTTACAATCACATGTGTGTTGCAGCAGGTTCTCAAGCCCACAAAAACTTCTGAGACTGCCACCACCTTCATTCTCATTCTAGATGTTGTGGTGTCATATCCAAGGCTTTGTTGCATTAGTCTTTTCATTCATGTAATGAATCCCCCATTCACTGTTTTCTTTACAACATAAAGCCATATGTATAGACAGTCCATGACTTTGGTCAAAATTGTCATGAATCACTAGTGAATTTCTGATTCTGAAGTGCCTGCTGGCCTGTCCCTGCAACCCTGATCCAGTGTTATTAGAACCATACAGAAGTCTGATTTTTGCTCTGCTGCCTTGTCATCTCCTTGGCCAATGTTCTCAAGCCTACACACATCTCTAATTGTGTCTTCTGCTTGCGCTGTCCAAGACTGTCCTCTAGTCTGCCTATGTCCCTTAGCTGTATCCATGGTTTCATGAAGGAAGTACTTGTGTCTGCAACTTCTGTGAGGTATGGCCTCACTTACAGCACTTTGAGCCTGTTTGCTATAGTCAGCAGTGCAAGTAGGCATGGCACACATACTACTGAGCTATCTCTTGTATATCCTACAGTCATCCATGTTGCTTCATTCTGAATGCGTTTCAGCTTCAACAGCTGACACTTTGATAAGGTGAGCCTGACCTCATAATCTGTTACTCTTCTTCTTCTTCTTCTGCGTTCGACATCAGTCATGCTAAACATTGAGTCCCGTCTGGGTCAAAAATAGGATTGTGCATTTAAGGTCGCCACCGGTCCCCCATAGCTTCTCTCGCAATGTGGATCTGAAATGAGCAAGTTTCGGTACACCGTGAACAGCATTCTTTTCTCCATGTCCATTGTTGTTATAACTTCATTGCATTGAGTCCCTTTTGGCATTTTACTGCAGCTGCATTCACAAGGTCTTTTTTATTTCTCAGAGGTGATATCCAGGTAATTCACTTTTCTTTCTCTTTTCTGTTTTTGTAATTAATTGTGAAGCTTGGACATCAACTCTAACAATCCTGTTGTCCAGAGAGCACCATAAAACAGTTGCTTTTCTGAGCTGATGACAGTACTCATCTCTTTTCACCAGCCAGTCCTTTTGTCTACTGATGACTGCAGCTGTTGAGCTGTCTGTGTTGCTTCTCTACCTATTTGCAAGAATATCATCTGCAAATGCCAATATCCTCCCAAGGCATGGTGCTTCAAGTTCTGCAATCTTGCTCATATATCCTTTGAAGAGCACTGGTGAAACTGCACATCCTTGTGTTATTCACGAGGTGATATTGCGTGACTAAAGACCCATGGACCCAGACAAAGGTCAACCATACAAGGGTTCAGGTGAGCTGCTATCTCTACAAGCATGCGCATAAAAACATGATACCTGACACTTGTAGGCATCCTCAAGATCAAGTGCTGTTACTACCATATCCTGTATATTCAGAAAAAGCAAAAGTAGCTGCATTTGACCAAATATCGTTTTCTGGCTAGTTAACTACCAGCAGCTCTTGGGAGAAGCTGTTCCCTTAACAAAAGTGCTTGCAATTTAACACAAAATCTTCTCCAGCACCTTGCCGAAAGTATTTTGCATGGTAATTATCGAGGAGCGGTTTGGCTGAATGGTTACATGTCAGGCTCTCGTGCAGGAGATCCAGGTTCGACCCCCGATATTGTGATAGAGTTTTTCTGTCAGAGGCAGATTTAACATCCTAACCTGTACAGTCCTCAGCGACAGCACGGCCATGTTTGCCACTGCATTGAGCATACTTATCTCCACCTTTCTCAATATCCTCTGTGAGTTGGTTACAGCATGTGTGCACAGCTGATTCTTCATGAGGATGCAGTGGTCGCCTAATCCTCCATTCTCAAACTAGATGTCGTATTATAGTCCAGGCTTTGTTGCACTAAGTGACATCCATTCGTCTTTGCTATGTACCCCCATGAACTTTGACCACCTCTCAACACAGAGCTATATGTATAGATAAAAATATCACCTTAGCGATTGTTGTCATGAATAATTTGTTAAACTTCTGATTCTGCCGTGGCCGCTCGCCAGGCCCTGCACTCATGTCCCAAGTTAATTAGAACCCTGCACATCTGAGAGGTGAGTTCTGGAAGATTTTCAGCATTGAAGGGGAAGCAGAGGTGGACTTTTAGTCAGGCTGCAACTGGTACTTAGAATGTCAACTCTTCATTGGCTACTGAAGAAGGGGATGGAGCATGTATGGGAATGTCCCGAGTGCAGAGATGTCAGTTCTTGTTTCATTCAGTCACATCTGATTGTTGCTGTGACACTTTGATCCACTCCCACTGCTGTCCTTACCCAATATTGTCAAGCCTAAACACTGCGCACATGTCTAATTGTGTCTTCAGCTTCACCCAAGACCCTCCTCTTTTTTAGTCTGTGACCCTTAGCTCTGTCTAGGGCTTCATGCAGGAGGTGCTTCTTTTCTGCGGCTACTCTGAGATATGACTTTTCTTGCAGCATTATGATCCTACTTGTAATAGGCGACTCTAAGTATATATCACATTCACACTACAGAGTTATCTCTTGCACATCCTAGAATTACGTGCATGACCTCATTCTCTATGCATTCAAGTTTCATCAGCTGACTCTTTGATACGGTAAGCATACCAAGTTCATGATCTATAACTGAGAAGATCACAAGCTGGAATACTGTGAACAGCAGTCTTTGTTCCTGATCCATGATGCCATAGCTTGAGTGCATTGAGTCCTTTTTTTTGGTATTTCACCGTAAATGAGTCCAGATCATCCATGAAGGAAAGCTTCTGTCGAAAGTGCTGCTCAGGTATCTCAGTTTACTTTCTCTTTGATGTTTCTGTCATTACTTGTGAGGCTTGTGACATCAGCTATTACAGTTGTCCAGAGAACACCATAAAACAGCCGTCTATTCTGGGTTGATGACAGCACACTAGTTAGTCACTTTGTCTGCCCTTGCCTGTAGTTCTTGGGCTGTCTGTTGCCTATCACATGTTCGAGGTTCCCTGGCAGCAACATGGATGTAATGTACACGGGAATACATTGAAGGATCAGGGAGAATCTGATCTCTCAGGCAATTGAGCACACCAGCTGTTGCCTCTTGAGAGCTGGATCTCTAGCCCTGTGAGTACTCATACTTATAGAGTAAAAGAGATGCCCTCAGATTTTAAGTCCTTTGATCAGGAAAATTATTGTACAGTCAAGACCATTGTGCATGACTGAAGAGAGACAAAATGCAATGGATCTAGGGGGAGACAACCTTGGTTTTTGAAGACCCAAGTCTAAGGTGAACCTGTGTGACGACAGGATGAGTGACTGCTGGTTTTGCAGTCATAGAATGTCTGGTTGGCAGGAGTAGCAGCACCAGGCATACGGACTCCTTTAGGACATTCCCCTGCCTTTTCCCTACCAAGCAGGCAATACAAGGGTGACCATTTACTACCTGCTCTGCTCAAGTACTAGTAATAGTAGTACTTTTACCCACCAGGACATCACACAAGCGATAAACACCCGATGACACAGAGTGCCACCATGTGGATGAGGATCACCCGGGAAGAGGTCCCAGAAACCGCGTTCAGCCATTAGACCATATTTATAGTCTGGCTATTTTGCGGCCCCCGGGAAGAGCCAGAGTAGGGCTTCAAATAACGAAAAATTGCATCTCACAAGAAGATGACTGGATTATAACTGCTGAAGTCTGGTGTTTATGCAGATTTAGTTGCCTATAGATGCTGTCCTTTTTCTTTGTTGTCATTTGTATTTGGTCCACAGTCTCCACATCATCATCAAGCAAAGAAACTACTGTTTGTATCTTACACAGTTCAATGTCCTGTTAATTAATGCTAATATTTGTCAGATGTGAAACAGCAATTCTCTATTTCTAATTTTGTGTCTTCCCTAGGCCGCCCGATTTCCATCCTTGCGAAGACTGAGTAGAGAATTACTGCTCGATGTCCTTGATGCCTTAGCTGATGAACTGAGTGAATCACGAGTATGTCCAGATCTGTCAGGGATCAGTCTCACAGACTCAAATATGTCACTTTAAACACAAATGTCACATGGAAATTCACATTTATCAGTCAACATCTGTGAAGGCAAATTATCATGTTTTTTAGAAACACATTTCACAAAGACAGTAAATTTCAATGATTCAACTGTTAATACAACAGAAGTGATGGCAGTGAAATCTAATGTTCAAGTTTGCAGGCGTGACTCTTAAACTATATGTGGATTGAGTCAGTAACAATATGATGTTGCAATTGCATTATACGTATTTTTGACCTCTAGATCTAGTTACGTACAGTAATTTTATGAGAGAAGGATATTTGGAGAATATTCATTAACTGCTTTCAATTATTTTCATTCTCTCTCACAGGGCTTGAGAGTTTGTAATGAAAACCCCAATTGATAGTTTCCAGGCTCACATACTTAGGTTATACATGTTCATTATGTCTTCTGATAGACCACATAGTGCCATATTTGTTGCCTGATTGTCTCTCTCACAAAAGAGTTTGTAATGAAAACCCCATGTGATAGTCGGCAGGTTCACACAGGTTATACATGTTCATTATGTCTTCTGATAGACCACATAGTGCCATATTTGCTGCCTGATTGTCTCTCTCACAAAAGAGTTTGTAATGAAAACCCCATGTGATAGGATTGTCTCTCTCACAAAAGAGTTTGTAATGAAAACCCCATGTGATAGTCGGCAGGCCACACAGTTAGGTTATACAAGTTCATTATGTCTTCTCATAGATCACATAGAACCATATTTGCTGCCTGATTGTCTCTCTCACAGGGCTAGAAAGTTTGTAATGAAAACCCATGTGATAGTTTCCAGGCTCACACACTTACGTTATACAAGATCATTATGTCTTCTCATAGACCACATAGAGCCATGTTTGCTGCCTGATTGTATCTCTCACAGTGCTAGAAAGTTTGTAATGAAAACCCCATGTGATAGTTTCCAGGCTCACACACTTAGGTTATAAAGTTCATTACGTCTTCTCATAGACCACATAGTGCCATATTTGCTGTCTAACTCATAAGTTACTGCCAGACTTTTCACTAATTGTATCATGTTTTTTAAATAATAAAGACAGCTGTAGCAACCTAATTTTCAGCATTTGAAACCATATTAACCCTTTCGCTGTTATGAATGTATTTCGCTGTTTGCCTGTAGACTGAAATGAACGTCTTTAGATGTTATCCGGTTTCTTGGCCCTCACTGGTACGGGCGTAAAAACAGGTTTTTGATTCTCCTTACAGACTGCTAACGATTGTTGTTCTAGACGTTTAAACGGCAATACACATCAGCCATATTCGGATCCAAGTGACCCATATACATACAATGAAACACCCTGTAAATGCATTTAGATGTGTTCAGGTTAGTTGGATAGCATCCCATGTTATTCTGTTGTTTTGTTTACCAAGAAAGTCCGGTCAGTAATTTATGTATTTTGTCCCCAAAAATATATTTGTGGTTTTGCATTAATCAACATTTCTTCATACAAAATGGCAGGAAAACTAATTAAAATTGATGAAGAATTAATGGATGGTTTCTATCAGGGAGTGATAGTGAAAATGTCTTTAAAATATGTGAGTTATAAGTTGGGTTGTCTTCATAGAATAGTTTTGAAACATTGTCTGATTTAGAAATTCTGTTTCAGGATGTTATTGATCAGTGGGAAATATTGATGAGAGCAGTAGAACATGATAAGATATGTTTGTTGACATTTATAGACCAAGAAAAAGCCTTTTGATAGAGTCAACAGGAATATGTTGTGGGAATGTATGGGGAAAAAGGGTATGAACACACGTAGTAAATGCTGCATAAGATCGAAGGCAGGATTGCCAAGAACTTTTATAGTGAACTCAAGTGTGCGTCAGGGCTGTGTACTATCGCCACTTCTTTTTATAACATACATGGATACCATATGTAAGGAAACGAACTTTAATCATGAAGAAGATATTACAGAAATACTATTCACCTACGACCAGGGACTCATAGCAAAAACTACGGAATGCCTACAGAACTACCTAAATCAAATTAGTAGCAAAGGGGAGGAATTTAATATGAAAATAAACACAATGAAGACAGAGACAATGGTGATGGGAAGACAGAAAGAGAATTTAGAAATAAAATTAAAAAACAACACATTAAGACAAACTGAGGAATTTAAGTATTTGGGAGCAATTTTCACATCCGACGGAAAACTGGCCAGAGAAATTAGCTCGAGATGTGCCAAAGCTAATCAAGTAATAGGTCAACTATCTCCCCTGTTGACACACAAGCAGATACCCAGGAGTACTATAGTGAATCTAATCAGAACTATTTTTTTGGCCAACACTATGCTTTCAGTGCCAAACGTGGACACTTACATCCTCCAATAAGCGTAAAATCGTGACAACAGAGATGAAATCCCTTAGAAGAGCTGCAGGAGTTTCAAGGAAAGACAGAATATGAAATCACAGAATCAAACAAATGCTAGGAATAAAGCCAGTCTTACAGGTCATCAAAGAACAACAAATGAAGTGGTTTGGACACCTAGTAAGAATTCCCCAGTACTATCTGCCACAGCGAGCCACACTAAAACGTTACAACGGGTATAGAGCAAGTGGAAGACCTCAGAAAATATGGAGTGATGGCATTAAGAACAGCCTTACAGAAATGAACATCAGTCTTAATAGTGCTCTTGACAGAGCTCATCAACAAATGTTACATCTCCTCCCGACACTTTGATGAGGTACAAGGTGGAAGAGAAGAAGAAGAAAAAGTGACAGTTAGCAATGAGAATCTAGGCTATGGAATTAAATTGTCAGAAAATGGAAATTATTGTAATCACCAAGAAGAAAGAAATGTCAAAGTGCAAAATATGAAATGGCACAACTCTTAAGCAAGATGCCTTTGCAGAAATTAGAACAAGAATCAACATGGCAAAAGTGGCCTTTAGTAAGATGCAAAAGATTCTTACTAACAAGAAGATGTTAATTGCAGTGAGAGAAGAAGAGTATTAAAGTGTTATGTAGAACCTGTGTTGTTATATGAATGTGAAACATAGACAATAATTTTTAAAAAAACTAAAAACATTTACTCACAGCAGAGATGTAGTTTCTGAGAGGAAAGCAAAAAATATCAAGGGAGGATAGAAAAACAAATGAAACAGTCCTCACTGAGACAGAAAGTCGTAAACTTATTAGAACCGTTAGACATAAGACAGTCCACTTTTTGGGACATGTTATGAGAAGGGATGGACTCAAGAACTTAGAAACAATTGGCAAGACTAATGGAAAGAAAGCAAGTCGAAGGGAAAGAATACCTGGATTGCCTGGCCAAATGGATAGAAGGGGAGAGGGGGACGGAACATTGAACTAATCCGGGATCTGGTGATCGTGTGAGATGGAGAAACATGACAGCCTATGCTTACTGGCACAGCACCTGATGACATCCATACTTCTGGCAGTGAGCAAGATGATCTGACACAGCCCACACCAACTTCCAGCAGTGAGCAAGATGATCTGACACAGGTCACACCAACTTCTAGCAGTCAGCCAGATGATCTGACACAGGTCACACCAACTTCTAGCAGTGAGCCAGATGATGTGACACAGGTCACACCAACTTGTAGCAGTGAGCAAGATGATCTGACACAGGTCACACCAACTTCTAGCAGTGAGCCAGATGATGTGACACAGGTCACACCAACTTCCAGCAGTGAGCAAGATGATCTGACACAGGTCACACCAACTTCTAGCAGTGAGCCAGATGATGTGACACAGGTCACACCAACTTGTAGCAGTGAGCCAGATGATCTGACACAGGTCACACCAACTTGTAGCAGTGAGCAAGATGATCTGACAGGTCACACCAACTTCTAGCAGTGAGCAAGATGATCTGACACAGCTCACGCCAACTTCCAGCAGTGAGCAAGATGATCTGACACAGCTCACGCCAACTTCCAGCAGTGAGCAAGATGATCTGACCTGACACAGCTCACACCAACTTCCAGCTGTGAGCAAGATGATCTGACACAGCTCACACCAACTTCCAGCTGTGAGCAAGATGATCTGACACAGCTCACACCAACTTCCAGCTGTGAGCAAGATGATCTGACACAGCTCACACCAACTTCCGGCTGTGAGCAAGATGATCTGACACAGCTCACACCAACTTCCAGCTGTGAGCAAGATGATCTGACACAGCTCACACCAACTTCCAGCAGTGAGCAAGATGATCTGACAGGTCACACCAACTTCCAGCAGTGAGCAAGAGGATCTGACACAGCTCACACCAACTTCCAGCAGTGAGCAAGATGATCTGACACAGCTCACACCAACTTCCAGCAGTGAGCAAGATGATCTGACACAGCTCACACCAGCTTCCAGCAGTGAGCAAGATGATCTGACACAGCTCACACCAACTTCCAGCAGTGAGCAAGATGATCTGACACAGCTCACACCAACTTCCAGCAGTGAGCAAGATGATCTGACACAGCTCACACCAACTTCCAGCAGTGAGCAAGATGATCTGACACAGCTCACACCAGCTTCCAGCAGTGAGCAAGATGATCTGACACAGCTCACACCAACTTCCAGCAGTGAGCAAGATGATCTGACACAGCTCACACCAACTTCCAGCTGTGAGCAAGATGATCTGACACAGCTCACACCAACTTCCAGCAGTGAGCAAGATGATCTGACACAGCTCACACCAGCTTCCAGCAGTGAGCAAGATGATCTGACACAGCTCACACACCAACTTCCAGCAGTGAGGCAGATTATCTGACACAGCTCACACCAACTTCTGGCAGTGAGCAAGATGATCTGACACAGCTCACAGCTCACACCAACTTCCAGCAGTGAGGCAGATGATCTGACACAGCTCACACCAACTTCTGGCAGTGAGCAAGATGATCTGACACAGCTCACACCAACTTCCAGCAGTGAGCAAGATGATCTGACAGGTCACAACCAACTTCCAGCAGTGAGCAAGATGATCTGACACACAGCTCAAACCAACTTCCAGCAGTGAGCAAGATGATCTGA